AGGGACTCCCAGCAGCTGCCAAAGCCCTGTTGCTTAGGGGAATTCCCTCCTTCCTTTCCTGCACTGTAAGGATTATGCCACCTCTGTCTTCTTAAAAAAAGAGAAAAAGAAAAAGGGAACACTAAATACAGTAAAGTCACCATGGAGACCCTTGATTTTACATTTCAGGTTGCCCCTCTGTGAAAACATCTGGTCCCCTTGTGGGGACATCTGTGGTGCCACTGGTGTAGGAGATTTTTCTCTTATCTGCTCTGTTTTAAAGATTTCTGTCAGCCATAGTCTGGAGCTCCTTTCTGTCTGTCCTGTGTCTTTGTTTCTGGCCCTTTAAGACATGTGCAATAGTGTGTTGATATTATAAATTGTTTCTTGGGAATGATCTTGGCTGAATGTGTGTCTAAAAGATGATGTTTTATTGTAACAATCTGGTATCTGAATGGGTTTCTGAAGCATTGCACAATCTTGCAGTTCAAAGTTGGGCTTAGTTAATTGTTTAGTTTATGATTTCAGATAATTAATGCCAGAGAACTTAAATACTTAGGATAGAAAACTAAAGAACTCTACTTCCAAGTTGGCAAGTAACTTCCCAATCATTCAGTTTTTTTTTCACCATTTTGAATTGGGTAGCCTGGGAAAAGGTCACTGTGTGTACCAGTGCATTAATTTGGACAAGGATAGTAAATCATAGTATGGTATCTGTTGACAAAACAAGATGTAAAGATATAAAATTTTGTGAATTTTATCTTAAACTTATATCATAATTTTCAACATCCGAACCTGAAAATTATGATTTATGGTTAAAATGCCTTAGGCCTGAGGTGTCTGCTCAGAATTGCAGGACTTATGTTGAAATGCAAATGAAAGAAGCCTGCAAGCTCAGTAGGAGACTGATCTGAGGCCTAAAAAAAAAAAAAAAAAAAAAAAGTAAATTGTATGGTATTTACTAATTAATGGCCAGTCATTTTTTCTAGGACTCTTGTTTTTTTTCTTAGATTCTGTATTTTTTTTGAGCTCATGATTTTGATCCTACAGACCTAGGTTCATGTTTTTCTGATCAGTTCTATCTTTGACCAACTCTGGAGTTTTTGAAACATTGCAATGGAGATTTCACCTGCAAAAAGCTACAAGGCCTTTACTATTGTTATGTGTGCACACTCGTGTTATGTGTTGTATGTCTATATATACATATGTCTGTATATCATATATATGATATACAAATTAACATATATAAGGAGTGCTCATAAAAACAAATTAAAAAAAAATTGATCCAAAGATCTTTAATTCACGTGATTTAAATGGTTCAATTTAAATTGGATAAACAGATAAAAATAAATGTCTTTAAATTTAAGCTTGTAAGTTTTTCTAGGTGTTCAAAAGAACTAATAAAATATTAATGTCTATAAAATGTCTAATATGCCTTGCTTCTAGGACTTTTCCTTCAACAAAAAATGTCTAGCACTGTTCAATACACTTGTTAATATTTTGATAAAATAAGTAAAGTAAATTTGATATGGGATTACTCATTCATGAGTACTTTTGTTAGATATCTGACTGATTTACTAAGGTCTGTATAAGTTTGTTTTTACAATCAGCCATGTGTTAAAGAGACAAAAATTTCTTAAAGCATAAGTTTACCCATAACATTGTGTTTATTAAGTTTTATTTTTTTCTAGAGCAAGCAACCATAAAAATTAAAACAACTGGTTAAATAAGAACTGTTATTTTAGAGCACTGTACTGTTATTTTTTTAAAAGCTAAACTTGGTTAATATAAAAACATCAATGTAATTGTGATGCTATTAATATGCTCATATCTTCCAGGTATACAAGTCTGTAAGGCAGAAACTTTAAAAGAGCATTATATCAAGCTGGTGTTCTGAAGTTGTATGGTAAAAAATATATTGGGGATTTATTTACCTGTTATCAATAAGATATGTAAAGTTTTATGTTACTTTTTACATTGGGGAACAATTTAAATGTATTTTTAAGTTAATGAGAGCCTAATCTATGTAAAGGTTAATATTGTAAAGCACAAAGTATTTTGCTATCTTTCCACAAAAGGTTAAAAACTTTCAGCCTTTCTTTAATTCATGTTTTAAATGTGATATCATATGGTGTTAGCTAATGTTCATGTGACCTCAAACAATTTATGTAAACTTTGAAAAATGATATTTAAAAAGCAAAGATCAGCTTTAGAACTAGAACACTTAGGATTTATGAAGAGCCCTGCCTTACCTGAGATAAGGTTCTGTGTTCCATCTTACCACATGTGAGAATGACTACAAAAGCAGTAGGCCAGATTTTAGTTCATTTAAAGTTATGTTCAAAAGTTGTTTTTTTCTGTCAAGATTACTAGGATCTCAAACAGGGGATATAATGTATAACTCAGCCAAAATTCAGGGTAGCTATTACACAAACTAAATGTTTTTACTCTTGTTAATTTTATTTTGTAATTTCCTTATAAGTGATCTAAAGATTCCCTGTTAGTGTTTTACAGAAGTGTTGCTTTAAGAACACAACATGGGTTAATTTAAGATAATAAGCCATCACCTACAAGACAGATAGGAAAATACAGATCCCAATTAATAAAAAAGATAAATAATTGTAAAGTTATAGACATTAAAGCCCAGTACTCTTAATATAAGGCTGTTAAAATTTATTTGCTGGATGTTTAAGATTAAGTTTTAAAATTAAAGTTAAATTAAAAGGGCCAGAAAAACCAATATTTGGCTCTTGTCCTCTGAGTCAGTCTGAATCCAGGGAACAGGGGACTTCTCTAAGGAGCTTTTGCAACTCTGGGCCACATAACCTCCTGATCAGGGAGATTAATCAGACCACTGGAGAACAGAAAGCCAATAAGTGCATTTGCTATGAAGAGGAGAGTCATCAGAGAAGGGAGACATCCCTGATGCTTCTGAGGGAAGCCACATGGTCAAGCAAGACCTGGACCCATCCTAGCGCAAATGGCACTAGCAGAACTGAGAAGCTGTTCTCAAGTTTCCCCAGGAATGACTCCCATAAAAACTCAGCTGACTGCTAACAATAGATAGAAACAAAAGTCAGTTTGACTGCTTCATCTTAAACACTTAGCAAAGACATTAAAACCAAAATACAGCCATTCCTGGGCATTTAAATTAATAATGATGATGATAATAATAATAATAATAATAATAATATTTTAAGATATACACTTTATGTTAGCCTCCCAAAATAAGTAAGACTGGAGGCTACAAAGAAGGATTCTCAGACAGAAATGCCTGATAACTATAAAAAGAGACTATCAAGAGGAGCTGCCAGAGACAGAAGTTTTTAGTTTAAGGCCTACAGATATTCCTAACCTACACAGGTAGGCTTGGTGTTTGCTAGTATGATTATCCAGCCCTGAGTAACAGAATTAAAGGTTTCTCTATTAGACACAGAGGTCATACTAATAAAAGGATTTTACATGATCAGATGATATTATTAAACTGTGTCTTATGGAAAAGGACATCTGTAACACTAAAAGTTTAATGTTGTGTTTACATTCCTGATAACTTTAAGACTGTTAAAGATTTACATTTCTATATAAAGGCCTTGTCCACTCTGGCCTTATTATGGAGACAGCTTCTCCTGGTAAATATATATATACTAACTTCTCAGCCCTCACACCTCCTGGTGAGGGAACTTCTATACAGCAACATGTTCCAGCTGTTGCAACACTTATTCAGTACTCATGGTTTTTGTTTTTTTCTCATAGAAGCACCCATCCCCAGATGACTTTACAACCTGTTCTTCCCCAACCAGACTTCAAACCGAATTGACTTCTAAAAGGAAACTCATGTCCCTGACGCTGTGCCCCCTCACGTCACCCTCTCTCAGCTCAGAAGAAGCCAAAAGGAGCGACTCCCCTCTTCTTACAACAATGGAGACATTCCCTCAGTGCTCTTCCCCTACCCTATCAAAGATTTGAAAGGGACACATAGGAAAAGGGGGGAATGATAGACCCAACCTGATCTTTCTTAAAATTGGGAGCCATCTAGCCACAAAGCCATGAAAAGATAATTTCGGCTTTACTATAAATTACTGCAAATTCTGAACCTGCTTGGATGCCTGCCCATGCCTTGAACTCACCCATGCCTGGCTCTCTGACCAGATAGCAGCCCTCTCTGAAACTTTAATGATGCCTCATAAATCTTGGCATTCCCAGACAATGACCCTCTCTGAGGCTCTAATGACCCTCATAAATCTGATGTTGGGGCCAGCAAAAAATGTAAACTACCATCAGTGTTATGTTCATCAGAGTTCTGTTATATGTAACCCCCCTTTGTGTAACTTTCCGGACTATAAAGCTGGGCTGCAGGAAAGCTGCTGTGGCTGTCTTGTTTCCCTGCGGTTTTTGGAGGGAGAGGCAGCCGAGCAGGTCGAAATAATAAGCTTGCTTTAATTTGATTTTAATTGGAGTCAGTGGTCTTTTCTTGCGTCCTGGTCTAACAGAAAGTCCTGCTCCTTCAGCATGAATTCTGAGGACTGCTCTAGTTGTTTTCCTAACCCTTTCTTTTCTGCGGTTTGTTCTATTTACCACTGCTTCAGCTTTCCCATAGCCTACACAAATTTCTTGAACCCTGATTAATTTCCTATCCATCCACCCACAAAACCCCACCTCTCGGATATTTTCAGAGGATTTTCACCCAAAATGTGATCTACGCTCTAGGAATGGTGGGCGAGGTTTGCAATATTTGCTTGACATCCTTTCTCCCCAAAGGCTACGGGTTGGCGGGTATTCATTCACACAAGGGAGCCAAGGCGCCTCTCCAATTGTTAACAGCGCCACTGAAACCACGGAGCAGCTCGAACCATCGCCAAATGCAGGAGGAAACCGGGCTCTCCACAGTCAGTAGACTTCCCCATACCTCAGAAGTGGTTAAAAACGGAAGTGCAGACCCTCGTTTCCTCGGGATAGTAGTGCCCGAAAACGCCCACCCCCGGCCGCCAATCTCCCCTCAGGAAAACCCCAACTGCGCCAAATCTCGCGCAGCCAAGGGCAGGAGCAGGCGGTGAGACCGAAGTATCGCGAGACAACAGAGTTTTCCCGCGAAGGAGAAGCGCGCGTTTTTCCCTGGCTGGGTGTTGGGCGAGAAGGCTGGGTCTGCAGCTGATGTGAGGGATTAGCGCTCGGCTTAGCTGGCGCTGAGAGGCGAGGGCCGGGTTCCCCGAGAGCGTCCAGAGCCATGCCGGCTGAGCAGCCCGCGAGCAGCGGCGGTGAGTGACGAGAATCTTCCTCCGGGCAGCATTCGGAGCGGGGTTGGGCAGCATGGAGGCTGCGGCGGAACTTGGGGGAGGGAGCCTACCCCGGGCAGGGGCTGAGGGGGAAAGAGGGACGAGAAGCTGTGGAGAGGTGACCAGAGGTCACTCCGGAGTCGCACACATTTGCGTGGTGTGGGAGATTTTTCACAGCAGGGAGCTGCACTTTCCCGAGCATCCCGGGGTGTAGACTGGGGTCCGGCGAATTGGGGGCGACGAGAAGACCTGGGATGCTGGCTTCGCGGCGGGGCTTCAGCTTCAGCTTCTGCTTCGGAGGAAGTTTCAGGTCCGGATCGAGTCGTTGATAACTTTAAATAAAGACGACCATGGAAAAGCCTTTCTCCTGCTAGGGTCCCCGGTTCCCGGAATGGTTGAACAGGAGGAGACTGCTGTGATTACCCCGGCCATGCTGGAGGAGGAGACGCAGCTCGAGGCTGCGGGACTGGAGAGGGAGCGCAAGATGATGGAGAAGGTAATTCGGGAATGGAGTTTTTGACCTTTAAAGCCTTGGGAACTGGAGGCGTCCCCCGAGGTGTGGTTGGAGTTCTCCACAAACCTCAAAACAGCTTTGGTGTTTAACATTTGTTTTGTTGACACGGGCCTTGCGAAATCTTTGCACGTGCCTTGAGGGATAGGCTTCCTTCCATGAGAGGCAGTCTTGAAACAGCCGTGGAGTGGTCCCATCTCTCTCTTGAGTGATCATTTTAGATGGCTCGCTGGACCATTATAATTCTTTGAAAATGAAAGCGTGAATGCTTTCCTTCGAAATTCTTATTTCTTTTTTGAATGAGTACCTCTATGGTATACCTGATGGCAAGCATTAATCTGTAAAAAACCTGTTGTTGTACTTAATAGACAGAAGGTAGTACAAGTTAGCATCTATCAAAACCTGGGCTAGAATCTAAATCTTAAGAATTTCTTCCTAGGCTAGGGCTTTTTTCCGTCTGGATAGTCAACTGGCTTTTTGTTGATATTTTAGATAAAAATGTGGTACACCTTTTCAGTGAAAGCACAGGGTCCATTGAACTGGGGAGGCGCCACTCAACCACTTAGTCATATCTCCAGCCCTATTTTGTGTTTTATTTAGAAACAGGGTCTCAAAAGTAGCTCAGCCCAGCGCCTCTCTTTTGCTGAAGCTGGCTTTGATTCCAAATCCTCCTGTCTCAGCCTCCTGAGCTACTGGGATTACAAGCATGGCCACTGCGCCAGGCTTCCAGCCTCTTTTTTTTAAGACAGGACCTCCCTGAGTTGCTGAGGCTGCCCTCCAATTCAACATCATCATGCCTCAGTCTCCCGAGTGGCTGGGATTGCAAATGTGCACCAGATATCTGGCATAGCTCTTCTTTTAACAATAATTCATCATAGAACCTAGAGAGTAATTTTTTTAAATTAACATTTAATGTTTTCATTTAAAAAAGTCTATAACTCCGGCTGGGGTTATGGCTCAGTGGTAGAGCTTAGCACATGTGAGGCACCGGGTTAGATTCTTAACACCAAATAAAAAAAAAATAAAGGTATGGTGTCCATCTACAACCAAAAAAAATTTTTTTAAAGTCTTTTTAATCTTAATAATACAAATATATAATTTTCTCAAAGGTGTGGAAAGATTTTGTAATTGAACATTGTAAAAAATTATTGCCTCGTGACTAGAAAATTTGTAGAATAATTTTCAAAGTTTTTTCCATATTTGAGGTTAAAAAACCTTTGGAGGCCAGAAAACTCATATATGTTACAGTTTTTGTCTTTGGAGGGAGAACTGTGTTTATGGGCATATTTTAGAAGTACTTAAAAGAGAGGAAGCCAGGGCTGGGGATGTGGCTCAAGCGGTAGCGCGCTCGTCTGGCATGCGTGCGGCCCGGGTTCGATCCTCAGCACCACATACAAACAAAGATGTTGTGTCCGCCAAATACTAAAAAAAATAAATATTAAAAATTCTCTCTCTCTCTCTCCCTCTCTCTCACTGTCTCTCACTCTCTCTAAAAAAAAAAAAAAAAAAAGAGAGAGAGAGGAAGCCAGATCTTGAATTTCTTTTTTTTTTTTTATTAGAAATTATTTTTTTTTTAGAGAGAGAGAATTTTTTTTTTTTTTTTTTTTTTTTTTAAAGAGAGAGAGTGGGGGGGGGGAGAGAGAGAGAGGGAGAGAGAGAGAGAGAGAATTTTTAATATTTATTTTTTTTTTAGTTTTCGGCGGACACAACATTTTTGTTCGTATGTGGTGCTGAGGATCGAACCCGGGCCTCACGCATGCCAGGCGAGCGCGCTACTGCTTGAGCCACATCCCCAGCCCGAGAGAGAATTTTTAATATTTATTTTTTCTTAGTTTTCTGCGGACACCACATCCCCGTTTGTATGTGGTGCTAAGGATCGAACCGGGGCTGCTCCCCTGGGCTGCTCCCCTGCTCGCCTGCAGGCCACCGCTTAAGCCACATCCCCAGCCCTTGAATTTCTTAATGAGGGGCATTTACTTAGCTTTAGGAGATTGTAAGTTTGTAAAAAACCTGGAGAATGGCTTTGACATTCACATACCACAGTTAATTTCTTTGACTTTTTACCTGCATTTCCTTTTAAAAGAAGTCATTGTTAGTCTGGGAGACTTAAGGGTAGCTTTGTTGCTTTAAAAGTGGGTGGGAGGAGGTGGACTGGGACATTTCTTGAAGAGGTAAAAGGAAAATGGCTCATATTATGTGTAGGCTAAAATAGAACTTCATTTTCTAAAAAACTGAGATTGGTGTTGGAAGAGATTAATGGTGTGGAAAGTGGGGAATTTTTACTCTCAACATCCATTGCCATATTGTGTTCTAATTGCCAAGACAAGAAATGCTTCCTCGTAGACACTCAATTCTTTCCACAGATGGAGCTGCAACTTACTGTAGTATAGCATGTAATGAAATTGCTAAATCAAGAAGAAATGATGGGAAGAATTTGAAATATTGAAGATTGGGTTTAAGGATTAACCATTGGTGTGGTTTAGTTATATTATTTTTGCATAATGACATCTGAAAGCTTTAATTAATTTTTACATGCTAATTTATTCTGACAAGATTTAAGGTAGCTGTATCTAAACTCAAAATATTTTAGACAAATTTAAAAAATCCATTTGTGACATCTGAGTAATTTTCATCTTCTCCTGTTCGTAATATTCTCTCACTCGTTGACTGCTGATTATAGTTGCAGTAGTATATTGGTAGTTGCACAAGAAGTGCTATCCTTAAAAGACTGAAAATAGAGTTTGAGAAGATGTTAATAGGGATTATCTGTGTAGATGGGTAACTTATTTGTGTGTTTTTTGACTTTACTGTAATGAATATTATTATCTTCTTAGGTATCTTATTGCCATTGGTTTTATAATGGAAATTTATTTTGAAAGAAAACTATAGAGATGATGCACCTACACACATTTTTTTGTGGGGGTGGGATACTGGGGATTGAACCCAAGGGCCTTTAATTACTGAGCCACATCCCCAGCCCTTTTTATTTTGAGATTGTGTTTTTCCCTAAGTGGCTGAGTCGGGCTTGACCTTGGATATTCCTGTCTCCAGCTCTTTGAGCTGCCGGATTACAGGCATGCTCCGCTGTGCCTTCCTAGAGTGATGACATAATGTCTAGCAAAATAGAAGCCAATAATATACAATAATGTTTTAGAAATCACAGGCTAGAGTAACTACTCAGGTATAATATACAAGGTACTGGAGTATGAATTAGAATTTTAAAATGAACTTAAAACTCCCTCCCCAATTACTTTTATTATTTATTTATTTTATAAAGAAATTTATTCTTAAGTTTTAGGTGGACACAATATCTGTATATTACATTTATGTGGTGCTGAGGATTGAACCCAGTGCCTCATGCATGCTAGGCAAGCACTCTACCACTGAGCCATAACCCCAGGCCCAATTATTTTTATTTATTTATTTATTTATTTTGCAGTGCTGGGGATAGAACCCAGGATGAGGCATATGCTAGGCAAGCCTCTTCCTCTGAACTATACTCTCAGCCCTTTCCCTATTTCAAACCAGTTTTAAACTCTGGGCTGCTGTCCTTTAACTTAAAACCACCAGTTATGGGGAAAGGGCGTATTTAGGGTTTTTTTCAGTTGGCTTTTTGTTTGTTTTGTCATTCATACTGATTGAACAGTAGGTGACTTGGTTTAGTTGAAAAAACAGTGTTAAAAATCTTCCATTAGACAGTAAATAACTTTGTCAAGAGTTTTTTTAGACTGTATTAAGATTAGAGGTGTGTAGTACCGAACCTGAAGTCCCTTTAATTGTAAAGTTACTTAAGTATAATTCTTAGTGCAATTGCTAAGGCTAGTATTGCTAAATTGCAAGAACTTCTATTGTAGTTGGTGAAATTCTTGAGTTCTGCTTTCATGTATCTATCCTTCAGATAATTCAGATGTCATCTGTTTTCCTGAAAGTTGGCCTGTCTTATTTTTAGTAGTTTGAATTTTTCATGATTTCTATCTAATAGTGTAGTACTAAGCAATATATCTTTTAAGTGATGTCATCTCACCTATAGTATAAATCAGATTTACTGTGTTCTGCCCAGTAGCTTTATGTAATTTTTTTGAAGCTGCTTCAGTGTCTGTCTTTGTTGATAAACTATGAGTTTTACTAGGAAACAACAAGTGCCCTTTTGTTTAAAATATTACCTATGACTCCTTTTATGTTACAAATGCAGAGTTGAGTATATTTGTAGTAGAGACCATGTGGTGCTCAAATACTAAAGTATTTACTATCTTTACAGAAGTTAACATACTACTGAACTATACAAGGCCAAGTCAGAAGGATTGCTTTAGCCCAAGAGTACAAGATCCCATCTCAAAAAAATCCAAAAACTTAAATCCAACTTGAATTACTTGCTTATTTTCTAACTTTCAAATATTTTTTCAATGGGCCTTCAACTTGGTACATGTCAGAAATCCTGTGTCTATTATCTGAAATTTTAATATTTTGATATCTAATCTTTATCAAATTGTTGAATCTAAGAATCTTTTTTTAGTTTTTAGTTTGAAAAACAAGCTGCGTCTAATAAATCTTGTGAGAATCTTTTATTTCCCCATTACTTTCAGGAAATTTCTTAAACACAGTGTTTGTGTAGCCTGTATTAAACCTTATGCAAAAAAAAAAAGTAAAATTTGGTAAATATGGAAATTTTCTCTTTGGATAGGCTCGCATGTCGTGGGACAGAGAGTCCACAGAAATTCGCTACCGTAGACTTCAACATTTGCTTGAAAAAAGTAATATCTACTCCAAATTCTTGTTGACTAAAATGGAGCAGCAGCAGTTAGAGGTATGTATATATAATTTTTAGCCAGCAGCTTTAAGATTGTTAAAATAGCTTGTATTGATTTATAAATTATATACATTAAAATGCACAGATCACAAATTTATGGTTTGACAAACTTTGACCAATCAAGATATAACATTGGGGTTGGTGCCGGGGCGGGGCCGAAGTGCACTTGCCTGGCATGCATGAGGCACTGGGTTCCATTCTCAGCACTGCATGCATATAAATAAACAAATAAATAAAGGTCCATCAACAACCTAAAAATGTATATATTTTTAAAAAATAATGTACATTTTGATTCCACAAAAATCTTTTGTGACATCAGTGAATCCTATGAATCACCAGTTTGCTTTCTGTCACTATAGGTTAGTAATGCTTTTCTAGAATGTTATATAAATGGAATGGTTTTGTGATACGTGATACCTATATTTCCTTTCATTCCTGTTTCCTAGCATTCAGCTCCTAAAATCCTTGGAATTTCCAAAGTAATGTGTCTTTTTACATGCTAATTAGTTAATTGAGGGCTTGGCCTCTGTTAGGTAGCTTCTCAATGGGGGCTGGACACCAGAAAGACCTGAGAGTTGGGACTTTGAATTTACCTCCTGGAGGGTACAAAGCTGAAGGTTAAGTTGTTTGCCAGTGGTCAGGGATTTAATCATTTATGTTTACATAATGAATCTTTCATAAAACCCCAAAAGGATAGGAACACATGGAGATTCTTTGAAGGTAGTGTCCCTTGAGAGGGTATAAAAACTCTGGGCCTCTTCTTGGTCATTTCCTTTTCTATCTCTATCAGATCTCATCCCTATCTTTTGTAATATTTTTTATAATAAATTAGTAAGCTTCAGTAAAGTAAATGTTTCCCTGAGTTCTGTGAGCTTCTGTAGCAAGTTAATTGAGCCTAGGGAAGGGATTATGGGAATCTGAATTTGTAGTGAAGTCAAACAACCTGGGACTTGAGATATAGGAAGGGAAGCAGTCTTAGGGACTAAGCCTGCAACCCTGGGGATCTGATACAATCTCTAGGCAAAGAGCATCAGAATTGAATTAAAGGATATTTAGCAGTTGCAGAATAATTGATTACTTGGTGTGTAGAAATAAAAACCTACACATTTGTTCAAAGAAGTTTTGTTGATTGTTGGATGAAAGTGTGGAAGAAATTGGCTGTTTTTTTCCCCCAATCAACATTCTTACAGGTGTATACCCTTTTTTCCCCCCTCCCCTGCTTAGCATACTTTTTAAGATTTATTCATGATGTGTTTTATAAGTCCTCCCCCCCCCCCCCCACGTTGCAGTGTTGTGGAACCCAAGACCTCTTTCACATGCTAGGCAAGTGTCCTACCATTGAGCTACTTCCTCAGTCCCAGCATTTTATTTTTAATATACCATATTTTTTTCTCTGTGGTACTGGGGATTGAACCCAGGGTCTTGACTATACTAGGCATGTATTGTACCACTTGCAATTTTGGGGACTGAACCCAGGGATTATCTACCTCTGAGATATCTCCTCAGCTCTTTTATTTTTTTATTTTGTGATGGGGACTCACTAAGTTGCCCAAGCTCATACTTGTGATCCTTCTGTCTTAATCTCCCAAGTAGCTGGATTTACACATTGACACCATTAGTAGTATCCTCATAGTTGTATCCCCCTCATCTTTCACCCTCAAATATTCACTGATCTGTTTTCTAATATAGATTCATGTGCACTTTCTGTTGGTGATATTTTATTTTAGTTTTCATCTGTCTGAAAGTCTTGTTTTTATTTGTGTGTGTGTGTGTGTGTGTGTGTGTGTGTGTGTGTGTGTGTGTGTGTTTTTTTTCTGGTGCTAGAGATTGAACCGGGGGCCTTGTGCATTTAAGGCAAGCACTCTACCAAGTAAGCTATATCCCTAGCCCCAAGTCTTGTTTTTTTTTTTTTAATATATGTTAGTGTTGATGTACCTTTATTTATTTTTTATTTTTTTATTTATATGTGGTGTGGAGGATGGAACTCAGTGCTTCATGCATGTCAGGCAAGTGCTCTGTCACTAAGCCACAACCCCAGCACTCCAGTCTTGGTTTTTAAAAGACATTCTTACTGGGTAAAGAATTTATTTTTTCTTTTTGGACACTGATGATTGAAATCTGGGGTACTCAACCACTGAGTGACCCCAGCCCTATTTTGTATTTTATTTAGAGACAGTGTTTCACTGAGTTGCTTAGCACCTCACTTTTGCTGATTGGCTTTGGACTCGAGATCCTTCTGTTTCAGCCTCTCTAGCCATTGAGATTCCAGGTGTGCTCCATGGAGTTCAGCTGTTTTTTCTTTAGTGTTATTTTTTCTTGAAGTGTTTTAAAGATATTTTGTTCATTGCCGCCTAGCTTTTTGTTTCTTATATAAAGTATAAAACTGTAAGCAATTTGACTTCTGCCTCAACCCCATTACCTTTTAGACCTTCTTCCAAATGTGTTTCTTCTTGCCTTTGAGTCTTTCCATTGGCGTTTTCTGCATGAAACCCTTTTCCCATAGATTGCTTGGCTTACTTCATCTTCATCAACTTGTCTTTAATGTTTTCTCAATGAGACTCTTCCCAGACAATCTTTTTCTTTTTCTTTTTTTCTTTTTTTAATGGTGCTGGGGATTGAACTCAGGGCCTTATTGCTGTGAGGCCAGACAATCTAGTTACTGACTCTTGATTTCCTTTACCTTCTTGTGTTCTTTGCATTGCACTTATCATGTGATAGGTATATTGTATTTGTCTTCCCACAAAAATGTAGGATGTCAGAACTTAAACACATTAGAGGATACAGTAAATGCCATGTCCCCATTATCCACATTTAACACTAGTTGAGATTTTGTTTTATTTGCAAAATTCTTTTTTGTTTGTCTGAAACCCTTTTAAAATTTTGATATGTTAAGATAAAACACAACACACAAAAACCCCACAAAACCAAGTACCTTATAAGACAAATACAGTTTAACCAACTCTTGGAGATGGTTTGAATTCTTTTTTGTCTTTTAAATTTAAGGTACATCTGGAACAGCTTTTAGTATAGAAATAGATTTATTTCCCTTCTGAATACTTTATTTGATGCTTATATTTTAGGACTTTCTACTTTGCCTGAACAAAAGCAAACTCTTCCTTATTCTTGACCCCTTGTCATACAGAGAGCAAGATTGTTCTACCTACTTATTTCTGGTAGCTGTTTCCCTGGTTTTGGTTTCCTTACATTCATGCACTTAGCAGTAGTAAGTCTGAAGACTTCAAGAGAGACATAGCTTAGTGCAGCTCTGCCCTCTCTGATACTTGATTCTGGAAATGCTAGCGTATCTGTTTTGAATTGTTTCAACTCAGAGACTTGGGTTCTATTTGTATTTTCCCTCTGTTATTTTGCTTTTGGAAATTGCTTGCTTTCAGGTAGTAAATAAGGCAGTCAGAAAGTTCACATCATTTGTTTTCCTTTTCTTAGTGTTCACTGTTCTTTTGAAAACTGTTGCATGATAAATTTTATCTGGATTTTAGTTGTTCATGGCAGTAGGGTAAATCTGTTTCTTGTTATTCCATGAAGTCTTAAAAGCACAAAATTTTCTGTTTTTTTAATTATTATAGTTTTTTTTAATTGTAAACAAGTTATTTGAGAGTTGGAGATGAAGGTTTCCTATGTTGCATTTCCCATCTGTGATATTAAGAAGAAATTATCTTACAGGAACAGAAGAAGAAAGAAAAATTGGAGAGAAAAAAGGAATCTTTAAAAGTTGCAAAGGTAATAAGGCAAGCCAGATTTTTTTTAAGTGCTCGGGATTGAACATATGCTAATAAGCATAGCTTTACATATGCTAATAAGCACACACTGCCATTGAATTATACCTCTAGCCCTCAGAATGTATACATTCATACATACAGAGATACATACTAGAGAATGAAACCTAGTGGCATTTTACTGCTGAGCCACATCCCTAGCTTTTTTTTGAGATAGGGTCTTGCCAAGTTGCTGAGGCCTCAAACTTGAGCTCCTCCTGTCTTAGCCTCTTTAGTTGCTGGGATTATAGTCGTCTGCCACTGTGTCCAACTAGTTTTTACATATTATCTTAAATATTGAAGAAATTCTTTTGTCTTCTTGACTTCTTTGAACATCTATTTAATTATAACTTTGTTAACCACCTACCTTTGTTACAAGTTGTATAGAAACATTGTCAATCTGTTCTTCATTTTTTTTTTTAAGTTGGAGATGGATGCAATACCTTTATTATTTATTTACTTATATGTGGTGCTGAGGATCAAATCCAGTACCTCACAAATGCTAGGCAAGTGCTCTACCACTGAACTACAGTCCTAGCTCCTGTTTCTCAGGGTTTTTTTTTTAGTTGTAGTTGGACATAATACCTTTATTTTATTTATTTATTTTTATGTGGTACTGAGGATTGAACCCAGGGCCTCGCACATGCTAGGCAAGTGCTCTACCTCTGAGCCACAACCCCAGCCCCTGTTTCTCAGTTTTTAAGAAATGGAAGAAGAGCCAGATTTATGACACTTTTATTTTCTTATACTGTGGACTGTTTTTCATCATGACAGAATTTGTGATTCACTTGAAAAGAATCTATAAATATTGTCCTTCAAGATATTTTATAAGTGTTCGGTTCTTTTTGGAGGGCATGTTTCTGGGGATTGAACTCAGGGGCAGTCGACAACTGAGTTGCTTTGTGTCTTGCTTTTGCTAAGTCTGGCTTTGAACTTGGCCATCTATCATCCTGCCTGAGCCTCCTGAGGCGCTGGGATTACAGGTGTTTGCCACCATGCCCAGCTTGTGGTCAGTTCTTTTGAAACCCATAATGAACCAGTGGAAGAGAAATGATGAAGTTTATATTTGTTAAGAACTTACTTTGTGTCAGGCATTCTGTATTTTATTTAATTCTCAGGACAGCTTTATTAAGTAGAGACACTATTATTCCATTTTACATATACAGAAACATACTAGGAGATACACTGTTAGTCCTCATTAATAGATTCTGTATCTGAATTTGCCTACCTGCTAAAATATATTTGTAACCCCAAAATCAATATTCTTGGTGCTTTTGTGGTCATTCACAGACATGCTCATGTGCACAGGAACAAAAAATTTGAGTCCTCTAGTCAGCTGAGTCCAAATACAAGGTTTACCTTGTTTTAGGTTTCATATGGTAAACATGTCCTTTTCTTGCTCTATTAGGAGTCATCATTTTTATGTTCTTATTGATGATTTTCCTGTTTAAAATGGCTCAAATCATTGTGCTGAAGTTTTAGCTAGTTTTTTTTAATGAAGTGTTAGCTAGTTTTTCTTAAGAAGGCTGTAGTATGCCTTTTGGAGACAATAGTCTGTTAAATAACCTTCATTTAAACATGAGTTATAGTGCTATTAGCCCTTAGTCTCAATTATATCAAGTATCTTTAAATAGAAACATATTAAACATATATTAATTGATTGATGAAAATGTTGTAAGCAGTGTTTAATAGAAACCTAAACGTGTTTTTTTTTTTTTCAGGAACAGTGGTTCATTATTTTCCTAGAGACTATAAAACATAACTACTGTGGTAACAGTTTTATAGCTTGCTGAAGATAACATAATCTAATAAGTAATGCTAGGATTTGAACCCAAGATTAGTTTTAAAATTTACACTTAGCTTCTATACTAACCATCTTTATTAGGAAATATGAAAATGCTGGTAGGCCAAATAGGTAGGATATCTTTTAAGGCCAATTATTTGAGTCACAGACTTGTTAGTGGTGATGTTTAAGTACCCGGTAACTATAATTTTGCAGATTCTTTTGCAACAAATCCAGTTATTCAAAGCTAATATTTGACTCATTATTAATTCTGGAGTTGCATCTTTGGTTTCTAAAGAACATTTGTTTATAAGATTATTTTACTGGCTGAGCCATTTACTCTCTACTCTTACCCATTAATATCAATACATCATTAATATCAATACTTTGAGCCAGCTAATTTTTTATCCTAGAGTTTTTTTTTTTTTTTTAAATCAACGCCCCTCATTTTGTTCTAAAGGTATCAGTCATTAGGTTCTACCTGCTCTCATTGTTCCTTTTAGTATTTTTTTTTTAAAAATGCATTTTTTTAGTTCTTAATGGACCTTTATTTTTTTGCTTATTTATATGTGGTGTTGGGAATCGAACCCAGTGCCTCACATATATGAGGCAAGCACTCTATCCCTGAGCACCCTTTTGGTATCTTTTTAAAATTTTATTTCGATTTCTTATACATGTTCATTTATTCTTTTTTTTTTTTTTTTTTGTAGATGGACATAGTACCTTTATGTTATGTGGGGCTGAGACTTGAACCCAGTGCCTCACACATGCTAGGCAAGCACTCTGCCCTGAGCTACAGCCCCAGCCCTCATTTTTTCTTGAAAAAGTATTCTCCACCCCCTCCCTACCCATAACTGGGGATTGAACCCCTGAACTACATCCCTAGTTTTTTTTTAAATTATATTTCAAAATAAAAATGTCTCCTATGTTTAATTTTGAATTTTATATTTTTTAATATGTATATATTTTTAGTTAGTCACAATGCCTTTATTTCACCTATTTATTTTTATGTGGTGCTGAGGATCGAACCTAGGGTCTCATGTGAGGCAAGCTCTCTACCTCTGAGCCACAACTCCAGCCCCTGAATTTTATCTTCTTAAGTGGGAAAAAGAATGAGTAGAACAATTGGGAGGAAGCAGAGAGAGAGATGATCATGAGAAAGTTATGGTAGGGAAATGCAGAAGATTAGGTAAGTGTGATAGTGGATAATTCTGGGTGAGGTTCAGCTGCAAGAACCATTTCTCTAAAGTTAGTTATTGCCATTTAATATGTAATACCATAAATGACCTTAAGTAAAAGTAATATTCTAAATCCTTGTTTTATAGGGTAAAAATTTAGTTGGTGGAAGTGGAGAGAATGCAGGTAAATTTCCTTATTCTAGTTTGGAAGAATGTGGGTTTGTATTTGTTTTAATTCTTATAAAATAAAGTAAAATGATTTTTTTTATAGCCACGAAAAAGAAAAGAGGAAGAGAAGAAGAATCATATAATATTTCAGAGGTCATGACAAAAGAGGTAAAGATAAAAGGGGGGAATAAACAATATTTGATGTTGAGTAAAACCTGTTATAGATTTTGAACCACTTTAATGCTGTAAGAATTACTATTTAGCTTTTCAATTTGTTTTAAATATTCCATTGCTTTCAGGTGTTTATGTAAAGAAGTTGGTTAATATTTATAGTATTTTAAAATCAACACTAAACATAGGATATATAAACTCAGCTACCAATGAGCTGTATCCACTGTTCTTCTTTGTTTATTTTGAACAGATCTAGCTTAGTGGCCCAGGCTGGCCTTGAACTTGGGATTCTCCTGTTTCAGCCTCCTAACTGGGATTAGAGGCATGTGTCACTGTCACTATGCCTGGCTACTTGGCTTTTTTTTTAAATTTGTTCTGGGGATTGAGCCTAGGGATGCTTAACTACTGGGTCACATCCCTTGCCCCCCCCCCCCACCTCCCCCCTTTTTTTTTAAAAAGAGGAGAGAGAGAATTTTTTTAATATTTATTATTTGGAGACAGGGTCTTGCTAAGTTCCTGAGGCTGGCTTTGAACTTGCCATTCTCATGTCTCGGCCTCCCAAGCAGCTGGGATTATGGGTGTCCTCCACTGCACCAGCTCTGTTGGCTTTTTTCAATTGCAAATTACTTTTTTGTTTTTGCTTATTAGTTTACCTGTAGTGGAAATTGAGCCGATGACCTTGTACATGTAGGCAAGTGCTCTACCTCTGAGCTACATCCCCAGCTAATTCTTTTTTATTTTTTAATGTTTTTTAAATTTGAGATTAAAAAGTATTCTGTATGATTTCCAATTTCTGGATTTTTGCTTATTGTATCCTCATAATTTCTGTATCCCTTGTATTTCCTGTGAACTGATAGGTCAAAAAGTTTGATTTACGATAAGAATACATCATAAATGGTGTTTATGTTTTAATTTTTTCCCAGATTACTCTCTAAAAGTCTCAGTTTATTTAAAGGACAACACTTCTTTCAGTTAACTATATTAAATCCTTGCATCCTTGTAGTAGAAATATCTGTACTTATGCCTATATGACACACATGTATACATGTGTGTCTGCCACTTACTGACATTCTGTCATTCTCCTGTGCATCTTAAATTTGATATTTGCTTAAAGTTTCTTGAAAGTATTTAATTCCCTGTGTCTTTGGTACATGTTCTTCTCATACTTTTCTGCTTGAAATGTACTTTAATGATTAAGCCTCATGACAACTTTTTAAAATAATTTGGTATAACAATGCTGTGTTAGGTCACCAGGTGGCCATAATGTATTGTCTGGTAGATAGTACATGACTGTCATTCAAAATTAGAAGTTTATTCTGTATTTTTAGAGTATTCATCTTTGATTTTTAACTAGTCTTGTAAACTCAGATGTCTATCCACAGAAATGCCCAAAGTAGATTGGAGTAGGATTGGACAAACTTTGCGTAAATAGTAAGATAATATTTTTAACTTTTGAATAGTTTTGTGGTTAACTACTGAAATCTGAACTCTTGCTAGTATATCCTGCAAACAGCCATAGATATACTCTAAACAAATGAGTCTAACTTTGTTTCCTCTAAAAAAATTTTTTTTTAAAGCCCCTTGAGAGGTATTGCGGCACCAGGGGTGCTTTACTTCTAATCCACATCCTCAGTCTTTATTCTTTTTCATTTTATTTGAGGCAGGGTCTTGCTAAGTTGGCAAACTTGTGATCCTCCTCCTTGGTCTCCTGAGTAGCTGGGATTATAGGTGTGCCTTGCCACATCAAGCTCATCTAAACTGTATTTACAGTAATTGGCTGCCAGCTAGAGTTGGTCTGCAGGTTATCATTTGCTGAATAGACGATAGTTGATGTGTGTGAAATTGTACTGAGTCTCTTTGTTTAAAAAAAAAAATTAAAGTGTTGACAATTTTGAATATTATGAGAGTTCTGAGCCAAAAAAATGGCTTAATTCTGCCTTATGACCACCAGTTTGAGATTCTGTATTTTAGTAAATTACCTTGAGTGCCTTATCTGCATAAGATTAGCACAAAATAAATGTTGGTTCAATAAATAAATGAAAAAATGTGCAAATATTACTAATTTATTTTTGGTTTTTCAATCTTCCAGGAAATTCTATCTGTGGCTAAAAAAAATAAAAAAGAGAAAGAGGTAAGGTGTCCATAATAAAAATTAATTTTGTCTTGAGACAGTGTTTTGCCAAGTAGCTGAGGGCCTTGCTAAGTTGCTGAGACTGGCCTTGAACTTTTGATTCTCCTGCGTCAGCCTCCTGAGTTGTTGGGATTATGGGCATGCACCACCATGCCTGGCTCATCCCCTTTTCTTTTAGTCACCACTGGACATTTTTCTCACCATTCATTCCATTTCTCTGCTTTAAAAAAATCCATTTACTTTTTTTTTTTTTATCTTTCTTACATTTCAACTTCAGGTGTTCATAACGTGTTCTTTGATGTATCAGTATCAATGAATGCATCTAGCAATAATAATGCCTTAAACTTTTGAATCTAGCAATGATACAGGTACCTATAAATATGTGGATTTATAGGTGGGTCATCAGGTAGAAGCTGTGGGGGATGCCTTTATCTTGTTTCTGACCTTAAAGATTTTCTCTAGTTCTGTTTGGGAAGGCTAGATTTCTGTTCCTACATCCCACCTATCTGCCACTATCGTTTTGTTTTAGGTGGACACAATATCTTTATTTTTATGTGGTGCTGAGGATCGAACCCAGTGCCTCACGCGTGCCAGGCCAGCACGCTACCACTTGAGCCACAACCCCAGCCCCATGAGGTTCCTTTTTAATCTTGAGTATTCCCTAACTTAAGCCCTAATAGTTACATGTTTGCATAGGGAAGCAGAAGCAAAATAATTAACATGAAAATATTTACCAATGGATATAAACTTCAAGTGATTAATTTATACTTCAGTTTAATAGGCCACTGGAAAAATTCATGTCATGATTATGAAATGAGAGGTACTTTATTTAATTTTTGGTACCAAGGATTGCACCCACTGGCACTTTACCACTGAGCAACACCCACATCCCTTTTTATTTTGAGAAAGGATCTCACTAAATTGCTTTGGGTATTGGTATGTTGCTGAGGCTGGTTTTGAACTTGTGATCTGGACAAGTGCACTACCACTGAGCCCCAGCCCCTCTCTTAAGTTGTTTTTTATATATATATATATATTTTTTTTTTTTAATTATAGTTGGACATAATACCTTTATTTTATTTATTTTTATATGATGCTGAGGATCGAACCCAATGCCTTACATGTGCTAGGCAAGTGTTCTACCACTGAGCTACAATCAAGCCCCACAATTCTTTTTTTCTTTTTTTTTTTTTTTTTTAATATTTATTTAATTTTTAGTTTTCGTCGGACATAACATCTTTGTTGGTATGTGGTGCTGAGGATCGAACCCGGGCCGCACGCATGCCAGGCGAGCGCGATACCGCTTGAGCCATATCCCCAGCCCATCCCACAATTCTTATATATAGACAAACATACATTTTACTCTTTGGACAGCAATATTGGGGAATTCTACTTCACATTATTGCTAGCATTTGATGTTGTCAGTCATTTTTAATTTTAACCATTCTATGGATCTGAAATGATACCTTTTGTTGTTTTTAACTTGTTTTCCTATTTACTAATGATAGTTTTTGTAATTGTTGGATTTATCTTTTCTTTTTGTTGTTCCGTCTTTGTCTTGTTCAAGGGATATATAACTGTCACAAGGTTATCAAGATAATTCTTTTCATTTTATATTTATACCTGTGATTTTATCACAAATAGATTTGTGTGGAATAATGACATTTGAGTTTAATATTTTTCCACTTAAATATACAGTTGTTTCAGCATCATTTCTAAGACTTTTCCCCTTTTTTTGTACCTGGGATTGAACCCAAGGGCACTTAACCAATGATCTTTGTTCTTCTTACCTAATGAATATAGGAAGAGGTACATTTTGATAATGTTTTTTGGATACACGAGGTGAGGAATATAGTAGCATTTTGTGTCAGACTTATAATTAAACTTTTTTTTCTTTGCAGGATGAAAGTTCCTCCTCTGCTAATCTCTGTGTAGAAGATCTTCAGAAAAATAAAGATTCAAATAGTATGATTAAAGATAGATTGTCTCAGACAGTTAGGCAGAATGCTAAATTCTTTTTTGACCCAGTTCGGAAATGTAATGGACAGCCAGTGCCCTTTCAACAACCAAAGTACTTCACAGGAGGAGTGATGCGATGGTACCAAGTGGAAGGCATGGAATGGCTTAGGGTAATGAGTTTTCTTTTTTGTTGTTGTTGCTGTTGTTAAATTTTTTTTGTAGGTGTAGATGACAGAATTCCTTTGTTTTATTTATTATGTGGTGCTGAGGATCCAACCCAGTGCCTCACACATGCTAAGCAAGCACTCTGCCACTGAGGTACAGCCCCAGCCCAAGTTGTCATTTTTAATATAGTTAGAATTCTGGCACTTTATAATGGCTTTGATAAAAGTCATCCCACAAGTGTTATTATAATTTATGGCATTAGTATGTCAGTCACATCATAATTGCCATTGAGTATACTTGTACAAAAGAAATAAACCTTTAATAATTCAGTAGATGTTTTTATCACAATTTAAATTCAGTGTATATTCTTTTGTCTAGATGCTTTGGGAAAATGGAATTAATGGCATTTTAGCAGATGAAATGGGCCTTGGAAAGACAGTTCAGTGCATTGCTACAATTGCATTGATGATTCAGAGAGGAGTGCCTGGACCTTTTCTTGTTTGTGGCCCTTTGTCTACACTTCCTAACTGGATGGCCGAATTCAAAAGGTTTACACCAGAAGTAAGACATATTCCCTTATATTAAATATATTATTTCACATGTGTTATTGCAGGAATTATAGAGCTCCTACAATAATACTGGTTTCTGTATGAGCATTGCATTTGATTTGACTTTTTCAATCTGAGCGATGTCATTCTTAAAGTTTATATAGAAGAGTTGGTACTGGCAATCTTAGACATCTTGCCTAAAATGTACCTGTAAAGAGTTCTCTAGATTGCATGATTTGATTCCCCTTATATAGACCTAGGTAGAATTTTTTAAAAATTTTGTTTGTTCTTATCTGGCATTTGCCACATACAAATTGTTTTATTCACATTCTTACCTTATGAGAAGAATATGTTTCCCCCCCTTTTTTTAAATTTCTTTTTTAGTTGTAGATGGACACAATATCTTTATTTTGTTTATTTATATTTCATGCTTTTCAAATAATTAATACTTAAATTTTGTTCCAAATTGATATAAAATCTTTTAGATTCCGACAATGTTATATCATGGAACTCAGGAAGAACGTCAAAAATTGGTAAGGAATATTCACAAAAGGAAAGGGACACTGCAGATTCATCCTGTGGTAATTACATCATTTGAAATAGCCATGAGAGACCGAAATGCATTACAGGTACAGGTGGTCTTCACTGGTTTCTTTATGATCTGTAACTATTTAATTCATACCACTTACGATTCAGTGGCATTTGTTTAAATTTTTTTTGGTGAAATTAATCGAGGGTATTGTTCTGGAGGCTCATATTAAAGATTGGGATAAAATGTGGTATTTCTTAGCAAAATTAAATCTTACAGCATTTTAAACTTTGGCCATAATTATCACTTTAAGTGTATTAGTCATACATAATTTGAATATACTACAGATATGTTTGTAATATGTACTTTTTCTTTTTTTTTAAGGAAGCTTTTTTTGTTATTGTTTTTTTTTTTTAATATGATGCCAGGGATAGAACCCAGCACCTCACGCCTGCTAGGCAAGTGCTCTACCACTGAGCCACAACCCTAGCCCCCCAGTAGCACGTGCTTTTGAGTATATGGAATTTATCAATCCAACTTGTTTTAATCAAATAAGAATAGAATATTTGAAGACAAGTTTTTTTATGGGACTGTCGGTAACATTTCCATCTCTGTATCTCTTGATATCATAGCTACTCACTTATTAATATTCATATTATTACAATGCAGTTAGAAAATTACTTGCTACTTCATTTATTTCATACATGATCCTTTGTTGTTTTGCTTTTTCCCTGATCATGTAATGTTCTTGCTGAGTCAAGTCTTTTTAAGTTTTCTTGTGAAATAAAGAAAGTAACTTAAGTAATGACATCAAGTCATAAATGGAGCATAATGGCTTCCATAATCAATGATCAGTATGTGTCAGATATTATATGTGTGGGTGGAACTTTGGAATGTGATTTGCAGAGGTCTTAGCTAACAAGTTTAACAAAGTTTATGAATATTTGCAGCAATAAAAAGTATCATAACTATTTTTTCACAGTAAAAGTTAACTACTTGTAAAAAAAAAGTAGAATATGAAAAGATAAAGAGTACCTGAAATTCTACCTGAGAATTTTATTTCTATTCTACTGATAACTTATAGGAATAATTTATACCTAGTAACATACTATACATTCTCTTTCGTAACTCTTGTTCACAATAATGTAATATGAAACCTTTTCTAATTAATTTCCTCTCCCTATCCAGCCCATATTGAAAAGTTAAGTTTCCTTGTCAATTTCAAATGGGAGTGGTGTTCTGAGGCTCCTGTTTGGTGTGTGACAAGAGAAGTTTCAGACCTGACTAATTAGTTTTCCAGGTTCCTTAACATTTATTTCCTTAGTTTTTCACTTACTCATTTATAAAGGGTGTTTCAGATAGGTGTCTTGTAGTGAGAGAAAATTAAGGATTGCCAAAAATTTGCTAGGAGAATAAGTCCCTTTCAAGTGATTTTATTTAAAGAGTAACAATAGTATAATTTTTTTATTCTGTTAGGAGTGTATTGTATAAAGTTCAATGTAAAAGATCCTTATTTCATACTCTATCCCCAATTTGCCAGTCTCATTTTTTAAAGATACTTAACATTTTAGTTTGATGTATTTATATTTCCAGAAATATTTAATATTTCTATTTTTTTTTTACAATAAATTAGATAAACTTAAGTTTGCCTGATAAGATAAAAGAGAAAGCACAGATATTAAAAATGAGAAAATAATTTTAATGACAGCTTTATGAAAACAAATATATATCTTTGATAATATAAGTTGCTAAAATTGACTTCAGAAGAAAGGAGCAAATCAATAACTTAGAAACATTGAGAACATTGTCAGATTAAAAAGAATATTAATTTCAGATATAGGCCTCCAGACTGAACATTATAATGCTGTTTAACATTTCTGACCATGTGGAACTAATGAAAGTTTTTGATAATTTTTTAGGAATATAGTAGTTTTTAGGAATCCAACAGCAGAACTTGGTAAAACATTAGAAAAGATACAGATTACTTTGACTAGAAAGCGAATGAGGACTAGCAGGTGGACTTAAGTATTATTTCATATCTAGTGAAATCTGTTCTAGGAATAGAATGACGTATTGGTTTTAGTAATCTATTAATTTGTCCCATTACTGGATCAAAGGAAAACATGATTATTTCAATAAATACAAATATAATATTTAATAAAAATAAAACAACCAGTCCTAAGAAAAGTTATATTTTGAGAATTGTTTTTAGGAAGAACTGTATGATAATTATTTTAAATTTTTTTCTCAATTCATTTTCTAGCATTGTTATTGGAAATATTTAATAGTAGATGAAGGACACAGGATTAAGAATATGAAATGCCGTCTAATCAGGGAGTTAAAACGGTTCAATGCTGATAACAAACTTCTTTTGACTGGTACTCCCTTACAAAACAATTTATCAGAACTTTGGTCATTGCTAAACTTTTTGTTGCCAGATGTATTTGATGACTTGAAAAGGTAGGTAAGCCTGTTATTTAACTGTTTTCTGTTTTTTTTCAAATCTCAAAAATCTGTTCTCTTAGCTGAAATTATTTCCTTTCTTCTAGGTAGCTGAATTTAAATGATTATTTTGTCAGGTTCTTTGTGATATATTTTTTTTGTGGTGTATTTCAAAGTGTGTTCTGTTTTGACACAAAGTATGTGAAAGCAGATAAAAGATGATTTAAAACTGAATTTGCATTGGACTGGTGAAGTAGCTTAGTGGTATTATACTTGCCCAGCATATGTGAGGCTCTGTTTTTTTCCCCAAGCAGTATAAAACAGAACAAAACAAAACAAAAAACCTTACTTGTATCGATTAAAGAAAAACTAAAAATACTATCTTACACAAATATTTTTATAATAAGACTCTTGTTTTGTTTTTATCTTTACAAAACAATCCATGGAGATAAAAAGGTTAAATATATTCCCTGTCTCACATATAAGAAAGTCTAGGCATAAAGTTGTTATTAGCACATAACAAGTTTAGCACCAGAGTGAATATTAAAACAAAGGTTTCCTGATTTTTTTTTTTTTTTTTTAAGTATTTTGTTTTAGTTGTCAATGAAGCTTTATTTTACTTATTGATAAGTGGTGCTGAGAATTGAACCCAGTGCCTCACACATGCTAGGCAAGTGCTCTGCCACTGAGTCACAACCCCAGACCGATTTCCTGATTTCAACCTAGCAGTTTTATTCTAGAAATTGTTTGAATTTAGATTATGTCATAAAAGAAATAAAAAGTTTTTGGGAAAAGTATACTCAGTGGAAGAGGAGACAAGATGACAAAAATATTTTAGATGGAAATACAACAGAATGAGGTGAAAAAAACTGACTTATATTATCTTGGGGAAGCTACATAATGTTTTATTTTGAGAATGTGTTCTAAATCGGATTTCCAAATATTGGCCCAGGGTCAGGCTGATTATTATAACTATGCAAACTTTTACTAAAGGACAAGATTTTTCAGGTCCTATGCAGAGCTACTGAATTGGAATCTGTTTGAAAAAAATCTGATCTAACTACTACATGAAAGTAGCAGTTTTTTTCAAAATTAGATATTAACAATATAACATTATTTAGATTATTAATATGTGCATGTTTACACTTAATTACTCATTTTTTAATATTTATTTTTTAGTTTTAGGTGGACACAATATCTTTATTTTTATGTGGTGTTGAGGATCAAACCCAGCGCCCGGCACATGCCAGGCAAGCGTGATGCGCTTGAGCCACATCCCTAGCCCTTAATTACTCATTTTAGTAATTTTTTTACAATGAGTGGAACTAAAAATGTATGGTTAGATATATTATGAAGTTATATGTATGTTGAACTTGTTGAAATGGATCAGATAAATACCTATAGAAATACATCACATGGCCATGGGTTTTGGCATTACTGTTAATTCTGTAACTATTCAGAATGTTTTATAAATTATATTCCTTGGACTATTGCTTTCCTAGCAGGCTTGAGTTCCTGAGTTCAATCCCTACCACTATAAAAACAAACAAACAAAACTAATAATACCTTAATCTATCTTTATTGTTTTTTGGGAATGGGGGTTACTGGGGATTTAACCCAGGAGTGATTAACCATTCTGCAACATCCCCAGATGTTTTTATTTGTTTAATTTTGAGACAGGTCTCACTAAGTTGCTGAGACTGGCCTTAAACTTGTAATACTCCTGTCTCAGACTGAGTTACTGGGGTACAGGCATATGCCACCATTCCTGGCTCTTTATTTGATTTTTAAGCTATTATAATATTATGTTGACATTTGTAAATTAGAAAAATGTCCCCCCTTTCAAACATAGCTCTTTTTTTAATATTTATTTTTTAGTTTTAGATGGACACAATATCTTTATTTTTATGTGGTGCTGAGAATCGAACCCAGTGCCTCACGAATGCTAGGCGAGCATGCTGCCACTTGAGCCACATCCCCAGCCCCAAATCATAGCTCTTAATTAAATTAATTAATTATTTTTGTGATGCTGGGAATAAAACCCAGGGCTTCACATTGCTAGGCAAGCATTTTTTTTTTTTTCCTTCAGTACCGGGATTGAACTCCGGGCCTCCTACCAAATCACAGTTCTTGATTGTTGGTTGAAAAAATACAATCACTTCCTCTTTGTTGGAATGTATTCTTTACATTAAAAAATTGCATCTAAGAGGTTGGTGCACAAATATCCATGCTTGATATATGCAAATTAATATAAAATTGTAAAGCATGTGTTAATATAATTGAATCGTGATAAGTTAATTTATGATCATTTTTTTTTTCCAGCTTTGAGTCTTGGTTTGACATCACTAGTCTTTCTGAAACTGCTGAAGACATTATAGCCAAAGAAAGAGAGCAGAATGTATTGCATATGCTGCACCAGGTGTTGACTATTTTCTTATTCTGCTTACAATATACTCATAGAATAAGCCTTGGAAGTGGACACTAGAAAAATGAATCTTCCCAAATTCGATTTCCTGGCCGTTTCCCTACTCCCAGAGGGAAATTTTATGGCACAATTCAAGTGCTTAATTAAATTTTGCCCTTTTAAAAACTTGGTACTGAGAATTGAACCCAGGGGCTCCCACGTTCCAGACAAGTTCTCTACCACTGGGTAACACCTCCAGGGTTCTGTCCCCTACCCATCCCCCACACTTTTTTTTTTCCTTCTTATTTTGAGACAGGGATTTACCAATTTGCCCATGCTAGCCTAGAACTTGTGATCCACTTGCCTCAGCCTCCTGAGTAGCTTGGATTACAGGTGTGTGTCACCATGCTTAGCTGCCTTTTTATCATATCATAGAGTCTTACTCAGTTGCTGAGGCTGGTCTCAAGTTTTCCATCTTCCTCCTCAACCTCCTCAGTTGCTAGGATTACAGGCAGGTGCTTCCTGTGTTTTAATAATTTTTCTCACTGCTATCTGCATTTAATACTTCATCCATTCTACCCTATTTCCCAAGCTTTCCTTCCCTCTCTTCCCTCCTGTCCTCCTTACCCTCTACCATTCTCCTTCTATACTACTTATCTTTAGATTAATATGATCTTTTAAAGGTTTAGTAATGTGGCCCTAAAAAGCTTCTTATTTGTGAGATAGGGTTTTTTTTTTTTTAAATAAAATTATCAATTTACTATTTTTTACAATTTTTTTTTTTGTGTGTGTCACTACATGTAGACTTAACCCATCAGATTGTTTTCTTTTCCCATTGGGGGAAAAAAAATTTTAACAGGTTTTTAGGTGTCAGTGAGATATTTATTTTATGTGCGGGGCTGAGAATTGAACTCAGAGCCTCACACATATTAGGCAAGTGCTCTACCACTGAGCTACAACCCCAGCCCCTCTCATCACATTTTAATAACAGCTTATTATCCCATTATCATGTTTCTTTACAATTAATTGTATCTACCTTTTATTATTTCAACATTTTTCTCTATTATAAACAAGTATCTATACTTATATCTTGTTTATTTTGGCTTATTTCCTGAGAATTCCAAGTAGTATTGCTGGGAAGGTGTATATATTAAGACTTTTGACATGTTGGAAAATTGCCCTTCAGAAAGAATTTATATACCATATGTATCTCTTTTCTTTTTTGGACTTTGTATGTGTGTGTGTGTACATTTTTTTATGGTGTCCTTTTGGTTTTGGTACCAGGGATTGAACTCAAGGGCACTCAACCACTGAGCCACATCCTTAGACCTATTTTGTATTTTAGTTAGAGACAAGGTCTCACTGAGTTGCTTAGTGGCTCTCTTTTGCTGAGGCTGGCTTTGAACTTTTGATCCTCCTGCCTCAACCTCCCAAGCTGCTGGGATTACAGGCTTATGCCAATGAACTCAGCCTTTTATGGTGTCTGTATGTGTGTTTTTGTGAGGTTTTTAAGATTTTTTTGGTGTGCTAATAGCTGTTTCGGATATTTTTGGGTAAAGTGTCCTAGTGTGTGAAACATTGAGGGAATATGGCTTATAAAGGAACAGATGTGTTTTGGCTTGATGTAGCAAATAGGATGTAGCAAAGTAAGGCTTTGATATTAGGTTTCTTAGGAAACTTAATTATAAAGTTAAGTCAGTTAAAATTTGTAGAATTTGGCACTTAAGAGTGGGTCTTAGAGGAATCTAGGTGAAAAGTCTTCCCAATGCAGTAGTCCTTTTAAAGATATTCGTGAGAAATGGCCATCTGATTTAATATTTTTTAGTTGATGTTTTACAAGGAGGGATACTGGAATTGCTATTTTTATGGGAAAGAACTTCAAGTTTACTTGAGTATAAAGATTATGATAGTGAATTTAATATACTAATCTCTGAATTCAATATATCAAGAGTCATGGCATTTTTCAGAGCCACAGTGCTAAGAAAATTCTGTGTAACACTGTTTAAATTTGTCTTATGGTAACTCATGCTTTGCTCCTAATTTTGTTTAAATGAATTACCTGGGGGAAAGTCTTTATTAAACGTAAAGTCAGATTAGTTGGAGATAGTTTTGAATGTCTTGTATATTTTCTTACTCAAACGTTAAATTCCTTGGTGTCTCAGTATATTCTATAAATTCTATAAGAAAGAATTTGAAATGTTTTCATATGCTTTCATGTCTCACTGACTTACTATACTTGCTTAGTCTTCCTTTAAGATATTTACTTAGAGATATTTTCAAAGTATTAGTGTACAAAATGTAAAGCAAAACTCAACATCCTGAATCTGAGTCTACATTGCATTTTGGATTTAATTATATGAAAGATGCTGAATATATTTGTGTTTTTCATATTCTTTTGCTGTAAGCTATTGAGATAATATCTCAAAATTAAGCGCCATCATACTTACAGTGTTATACTTAATTTTTCGTAAATCAAAACTTTTAAACATTGAAACTCTTACAATTTGCTTATTTTTAGAATTGTCATTTATAGGGGCTAGGGCTGTAGCTCAGTGGCAGAGTGTTTGCCTAGCATGTGGGAGGCACTGGGTTTGATTCTCAGCACCACATAAAAATAAACAAATAAAATAAAAGTATGCTGTCCATCTACAATAAAAAAAAAACAATTGTTATTTGCATCTGTAATCTTTATTCTTCATTCTTAAAATGTGTATTTAGCTGACCTTTTCATCATTAATCTTTAAAAATTTCATCTCATTTGAGGAAATATAATCCTAGTATATCTAGTATTGTTGACTTAAGATTAGTATCCTACTCAGTATACTTTTGTTTTTTCATACCAGGGATTGAACCAGGGTTGCTTAACTGCTGAACCACATCCCTGGCCCTTTTTTATTTAGAGATAGGGTCTCACTGAGTTTCTCAGGTCTCGCTTAGTTGCTGAGGCTGGCTTTGAATTCATGATTCTCCTGCCTGAGCCTCTGGGATTACAGACATGCACCACCACGCCTGGCCTCAGTATACTTTTTAAAAAATTAACTGTGCATGTGGATGTACATGTCACAAAGTTATAGTATCTTCAAAAAATAATTTTTTTAACTTTCTGTGTAAAGCTAATTTTTTTTCCTAGTTCCTTCCCACATTAGAGACCCAAAACAGCATCACATTTAAAGATTCACTTACTTAAAAATAATATATGGTAAAAAGTTTTTGAATAGTATAGAAATCTGGACAATGAAAAGTAAAAATTTTCTCCTGTTTACCCTGCACTTCTTTTTCTCTTGCCCAAGTATAACTAGCATAGTCTTGCTTCTATTTTAATACTTGTATGCTGAAAAATACATATATAAATAAGCCATATAAATGTTTTGGAACAGTGTATGAATGCCTCTTCCACATATTTACCTTTTCTAGATAACATTGAACTTTTAAATATAAGTGCATTGGTGGAAAAATATATCTCATTATTATCATGTTCTCTTTGAAGATAGGAACATCTTTCAGCATGTTTATGGAACATTTGTATTTTCTCCCTGATGTGTATTTGTTTCTGGATTAGTAACTTCAGATAAGCTTTTTTCCCTTAAATCATTGGTAATGTTTGTTTTCTGGTATAGTTGTTCTGTGCTTAGCCCTATACCTGAGTACAATTTGAGTAGTACATAGCCTCAAATGAGCCCTGCCATATGTAAACTGATTGTCAATTTACATTAAAGATGATTATAAATTCATTTTAAACAAATGTTTATATTTTAAATGACAAAAATTAATAATGGCATAATTATTTCTGTGTTCTATTTATAAATATGATTATCATTTGTAATAAAGGAGAGTAATTTTAAGCCTGAAGTTTCAGAGTTTAAGGAGAAATTTACCATGTATTATGGTGTTCACTTAAATTCCTAGTTGCTCAGGAGGCTGACACAGGAAGGTTAGGAGTTTGAAGTAAGCCTGGGCAACATGGAAAAAATATATGTAGACACATACACACACACACAATTTTTCATGTTTATGTTCTTAGTTGGGTTGGCTTTCTATTGGCCTAAAACCTCACTCTGAAATTTGCGGACTATATTGAAAACCTAAGTAAAATATTACTCCCTATCCTTACCCTGGGTACTGGAGATTGAACCCAGGGCTACCCTACCACTGAGTTATATCCCACTCCTTTTTATATATATTTTTTTTTACTTTTTGAGATAAGATCTTGCTAAGTTGCCAAGGTTGACCTTGAACTTGGAATACTCCTCTCTCTGCCTCCCAAGTTGCTAAATAACCATCTTTTAAAAATTTCTGCTCTTTAAATTAAGATACAGTCTTAGAGATTTTATGAATTTATAATGTGCTAGTCTGATATGGGAAATTTCAAGGATGATATTTTAATTTCACATTTCAAGAATTGATTGTGTTTATAGTGGCATAGGAGAAAGAAGGATAAGGAGTTTGTGGGGATGTTATTTGAAAAAATATTATATTTATATTTATTTGTTTATGTTGAAATTTTAGATTCTGACTCCTTTTTTACTGAGAAGACTAAAATCTGATGTTGCTCTTGAAGTTCCTCCTAAACGAGAAGTAATTGTTTATGCACCGCTTTCGAAGAAACAGGAAGTCTTTTACACAGCAATTGTGAATCGTACAATTGCAAATATGTTTGGAACCAGTGAGGTATAGTGTGTGCTTGAAATATACTGTGAATGTAACATGATAATAAAACTTCACAATTATGTCAGTCTTATGGCTCTTCTCCTGTTCTCAGGATTTGTTATGAATTTGTAACTGAAGTATTAGGCATAAGAACAGAAGCAGAAGTTTTTTTTTTCTAGTATAAATAATCCTGAAATTTAGTTGGTCTCTGCATTTCCTGCTCTGTGATCATCTGAAATGCTTGTTAACAAAATTTTAAATTCCTATGTCAGATTAACCTTAATTATTGCTGTCTGGGAATGGATTTAGAAATGCATTTAATGCAAGTATACAGCTGGGTGTGGGGCTATATACCCCTGATCCCAGCAACTTGGGGAGCTGAGGCAGGAGGGTTCTAAGTTAGGCCAACCTCAGAAATTTAGTGAGATTCTGTCTCAAAAATTAAAAAGGGATAGGGGTGCAGCTCAGTGATAAAGTGCTCCCCTGAGCTTCAATTGCCAGTACCAAAACAAAAGCAAAAACAAACGAAAAAAAACCCTCACTGTTATTTGATAAACACTGAAGGCTTGCCATCTATACCATTTTTCTCCACATCCGCAGTTCCTAAGAAGTGAAGATGGAATGCGATTATCATGTAATGAAATCAGGAAACACATAAATTCTAATGTCTTACATATCCTTTATTTTTTTCTACTGAGCAATAAAGATACTCTCACTTTCAAATGTTGTTTTCAGTGATAAAACAAATTTTACACATTTGTATTTGAGTATAGATCATGGCTGTGAGGTAATTGTGCCTTTGGGTATTACTAAAAGTTGATGAAAGAGCCAGCATGGTGGCATATGTCCTAATCCCAGCAATCCAGGAGGCTGAGGCAGGAGGATTACAAGTTCAAGGCAAGCCTCAGCAACTTAGATCCTATCTCAAAAGAAGGGGATTAGAGACTGGATATGACTTAGCGTCCGTGGGTTCGATCCCTAAAATTGCTGAAATTTGCTGTCCTCTTCAAAATTGCTGAAAGAGAAAATTAGTATTTATTTAAGTCTTAAAAGTCAGTTTGTACATAAAAATATTATACTTCACTTATAGGTAGGACTTCATTGTCTAGCTTTATAAATGGGTATTTTAATTTGTTCTTTTTTAGAAAGAAACAGTTGAACTAAGTCCTACTGGACGACCAAAACGGCGAACTAGAAAATCAATAAATTACAGCAAGATAGATAATTTTCCTAATGAATTGGAAAAACTGATCAGTCAAATACAGCCAGAGGTGGACAGAGAAAGGTGTGAGTTTAAAATAACTTTTAAGTATTCTTCGAACTGATGTGTTTTGTATTTCTTATATGTACACATTAATGTTTTTGATAGAACTGTGGTGGAAGTGAATAGCCCTATAGAATCTGAAGTTAATCTGAAGCTGCAGAATATAATGATGCTACTTCGTAAATGCTGTAATCATCCATATCTGATTGAATATCCTATAGATCCTGTTACACAAGAGTTTAAGGTGAATACTGTTTAATAATTTTGTTATTTTGTACCTTTAACATTGGGTTAAAGTATTATTTTGTTTGGTTTATTTTTAAAAATACTGTGTTGTGTATCATCAAGATTATAATCCAGTAAACTGAGTCTTCCACCACCCCCACTCCACCCCACCCCAAATTTAGAGAACTTAAGGAGGGTTGGAATGATGGTCTTTTTGTGTACAGTCCAACTTATTTCCTTACAGCTATGTGAACAGCTAGGAATTATTCTGAATTTTGTAAAGTAGTCAATTTCTATTTTTGCTCTCTTAGAGATAGTTGTCATTTTTTCAGTATTCCTTTTAGTTAATATTTAGCTTGTCAAAATCTGCTGCTCATTACTTATGAGTCACAAACGGCTACAGAAGAAAACCAAAAAGTTGATAACAGTTGGGGACTTTCAGATTAAGTGAATGAAATTGCAGTTGATTAAAAAAAATAGCATAGTGTTAAATTGTTTTTAGTGAAGAAGGATTTCATACTAATTAATAGCAGGGTTTCTCAACCCTGGCAGTATTGACATTTTGAGCCGGATAATTTTTATTTAGGAGGTAAAGTCCTGTGCACTGTCTACGTTTATCAGCATCTTTGGCCTTTGGTAGCCAGTAGGTCCATTTTCCCCTTTTGTGAAAACCTAAAATGCCTCTAGCAATTGCTGAATGTCCCCTTACGGTGGAAGGCAAATTTGCCCTTATTTTGAGAACCATACTTTACGCTTTTGAGTAAAGAAAATAAAGCTTTCCTACTCAAGTGGAAATCTCTTTCTGAAGGAAACTTCACCAAAAGATGAACTTTTTTTCCCCCAAGCTAAAAGATAAACGTTTTATTTAACCTCAATAGTTAGATTAGTTTTACACTCATGTTTTCTTAATTTTTACTGAGAATTCTAATAGCAATGTTTCTCCATATTTTACACAGTTATAAACCTCAGCATACACACAGTGAGTTTGACAAATTCTTTGAGGGACTGTGGTTCACAGATAGGTTCATGATTATACTTGAACTTTTGTGTGAGATCACTGAGTTTTCATTCTAGAGTGTCTTAAAGTAACTACTGATTTAAAAATAATAACAAGGTCAATTTTTTGAAAAGTTTTATAATGATTTATCACTGAAATGGTATGTTTTTAATTTTTATAAAGCAAGAGATTAGACATTTTTCTTCTTTGTCCATTTTTAAAGATTGATGAAGAATTAGTAACAAATTCTGGGAAATTCTTAATTTTGGATCGAATGCTGCCAGAACTGAAAAAAAGAGGTCACAAGGTGGTAATTTGTTTGGAATTTTTATTGTTTCATTATTTTTTATGAAGCAGTATAGACACTATGCATACTAAGATATATCTCAATTTCAGGTGCTGCTTTTTTCACAAATGACAAGAATGTTGGACATTCTGATGGATTACTGCCATCTTAGAAATTTCAACTTTAGCAGGCTTGATGGGTCCATGTCTTATTCCGAGAGAGAGGAAAATGTAAGACTATTTATGTCATACATAATAAAATTATAACTTTTGCAGTACCCAGGGATTGAACCTAGGGACACTTACTTAACCACTTAGTCACATCCCAACCCTATTTATTTTTTATTTTTATTTTAAGACAGGTTCTCATTGTATATATAAACGTGTATATATATGTTTATACATTTATACATATAAACATGTCCCAAACCCCGTTAATACATAGAACATTATAATTAACCTAGAAAGGTTTCTGTCTCTTCCAGGTTAATTTACCCTTCTCACCCACTTGATTTTTTTAGGCAACTGGTACTGAATTTTTTAACCAGTTTTTGCATTAGTTATTTTTATTTAAACTTTTCTGTGAAAAATTTTTAAAAATTAAGATGGTAGGGCATGGCTAAGTGGTAGAGCGCTTGCCTGGCATGCATGAGGTGCTAGGTTCCATTCTCAGCACCACATAAAAATAAATAAACAAAATAAAGGTATTGTGTCCATCTACAACCAAAAATTTAAGATCTCCTTAGTAAGATAGTTATTTGAAAAATCAAGTTAACACAAGGAGAGATTTTTATTAGTTTACATAATTGTTTTGAAAATCTGAAAGACTGATTTGGCCTCTCTTGGAAAATCCTTTGTGTGGTATAAGAAATAAATATCTCAATCCCTGGTCCTTTTTTTTCTCTTCTTCTTTTTTTTTTTTTTTTTTTTGGTGGCGGGGGTACCAGGTATGAATGCACGGGTGTTTAACTGCTGAGTCACATCCCAGCTTTCCCATTTTTAAATTCGTTTTTTATTTTGATACAGGGTCTCCCTAAGTTACTGAGGCTGGTCTCAAACTTGTGATCCTCTTAGTTTAGCCTCCCAAGTTCTTGGGATTACAGGAATACAACACCATTCCTGCCTAAATTATGGCTCTTTCTTTGCTTTTCTCCTTCCTTCCCTCGCGAGGGAATGAACTCAAATTGACACATGCTAGGCAAGCATTCTACTAAGACTTAGCTACATCCCCATCTCATCCCATCCGAAGTCTTAATGGTTGAAGTTGTTGTGTTTACATCTTTTTTGCTTTTAGATGCACAGTTTCAACACAGATCCAGATGTGTTTATCTTCTTAGTGAGTACACGAGCTGGTGGCCTGGGCATTAATTTGACTGCAGCAGATACAGTTATCATTTATGATAGTGATTGGGTAAGTTGAAGGTATAGCAATATGCTGTTGATATTTCTTTTTTTTTTTTTCTGTTGATATTTCTAATCTGAATTTTTAATCATCCTTATCTATATTATAATAATTTCATTTATCTTCTTTGAGAAGTGTCTGTTTTAAGGTCAAGAGTTATTGATCATTTTTTCTGCATATATTAACTTGTAATGCTTTCTTTTGAGTCTTTAAACATTTTCATGGTTTGTCATTATAGAAGTTACTGCATAAGTCTAAATTGAGCTAAGGCAACACAAAAAGTTTAATAAAAGTTGCTCATTGGATCATGAATGATGAGTTTATGCATTAACTGTGAGTTAAAGTTAATTTTATTCTAGTACTGTTCAATGTTGTTCTCTTTTTCCTTTTAATTTGAAGAACCCCCAGTCTGATCTTCAGGCCCAGGATCGATGTCATAGAATTGGTCAGACAAAGCCAGTTGTTGTATATCGCCTTGTTACAGCAAATACTATTGACCAGAAAATTGTGGAAAGAGCAGCTGCTAAAAGAAAACTGGAAAAGTTGATCATTCACAAAAGTAAATGATATTGTAGTATGTTTTTTTTTTTTTTGGTTCAGTTTTCTCTGTGTGTGTTTCTGTCATGAACTTTTGTTGTAGATGGACACAATACATTTATTTTATTCTTATTTATTTTAAAATTTGTTTTCTTATACTTTTATTTATTTTTTATTTTTATGTGGTGCTGAGGATGGAACCCAGGGCCTCACATGTGCTAGGCAAGCACTCTACCACTGAGCTACAACCCCAGCCCCTACTTATTTATTTTTATGTGGTGCTGAGGATTGAGGCCAGTGCCTCATACTTGGTAGGCAAGTGCTCTACCAGTGAGCCACAACCCTAGCCCTCATTGTTATTTTGTTTTTCTTTTCTTTTTTTTTTTTAATATTTATTTTTTAGTTGTAGTTGGACACAGTACCTTTATTTATTTTTATGTGGTGCTGATAATTGAACCCAGGGCCTCGCATTTGCTAAGTGAGTGCTCTACCACTGAGCCACAACCCCAGCCCTCATTGTTATTTTCTTTATAATAAAAGAAATTGGTGCAACTTGATAAGACGTGGTTTAAAGCAAGAGTGGGATTTGTGGAGTTGCTAACAGCCTACATTAAGTTGGCAGTGATAGACATAAAGAACCTTAGCAATTGTTTAGATGTGGCACAAATGGGAAGAGAAGGGTCTGGGATAATTTTAAGGTGCAATATCTTAAACTCTAATGAGGAATTTGGTGTGATATTTTTATTGCATGTTTCTGATTAAGATAATTGCTTGTCAGAAATTTTTCTTTAATATTTAATGTATTAAATATTAGAATAGTATTTGTATATTGAGGGAGTAATATAAAAAATCCATGTAAGTATTGAATATCGTTTAAATTTAGATAAATTTTATCAATAGTGTTAATGATCACAAAATTTGTTAAGATTTTTTTTTTTTTTTAAAGTCACTCAGGTTTGAACTCGGGCACTCAACCACTGAGCCACATCCCCAGCCCTATTTTGTGTTTTATTTAGAGACAGGGTTTCACTGAGTTGCTTAGTGCCTCTCTTTTGCTGAGGCTGGTGATCTTCTCACCTCAGCCTCCCAACCAGGTGTTCACCATTGGGTCCTGCCTGCTTTCAGAATTTTAAAAGTTTAATTTTACACAAAAAACTTTGACACTTTTTTATGGAGGTATAATATACACAGATCTTAAGTATACAGCTTAATTATGACAAATGTATACACTTATATAACTCATCCACATTTAGAACATTTTCGTCATCCAATAAAGTTTTCTCAGGTACCCTCCTCTGTCATTCACCTTGCATGTCTGAGCTTATTCTACTGAGCAACTACTATTCTGATTCATATATAGATTAATTTTTTCTTTAACTGTTTATTTTTATGTGTGTATTCTGTTTTTCTCCTGTGAATTTTGATTCACATTTTAATATTCATCATTTTTGTTTGTATTAGGAAGATTTTACTTGCTGAATAGTTTATTTATCCATTCTTTTTTGGTACCAAGGATTGAACCCTGGGGCACTTTAATCACTGAGCTACATCAATAACCCTTTTTATTTTTTATTTTGACACAGTCTCCCTAAGTTGCTTAGAGTCTCACTAAATTGCTAAGGCTGGCCTTGAACTTTCAATCTTCCTATCTCCTGCTCCCTAGATGCTGGTGCTCCCTGTTAAGCTGCTGGGATTACATGTGTGCACCACCATTCCAGCTTATCTATTCTTTTGTTCCTGGACATTCCAGCTATTTGAATAAGCATGAATTTTTGTGGACATGATAAATTTATTAGTTGTTTTTGAGAGGAGGGTGTGTGTCTATTGGGAACTGCTAAACTCCTAAGTGAACATATCATATTATGCTTCCACCAGCAACGTCTGAGAATTTCAGTTGCTTTTCTTTTCACCAACATTAGAGGGTTTTTTTTGTTTTGTTTTGTTGTTTTTTGTCCTTTTAAAAATGTAATCCCAGTGGCTCAGGAGGCTAAGGCAGGAGGATTGCAAGTTCATAGCCAGCCTCCGCAATTTAGTGAGGCCCTAAGCAATTTAGTGAAACCCTGTCTCAAAAAGGGTTGGGAAGGTTGCTCAGTGGTTAAGTGCCTCTAGGTTCAATCTCTAATACAAAAAGTAAATAAATAAAATGGCAGCCATTCTGAATAGTTTGTAATTTATTGGATTTTAAAGGGAATTTTAATATGTTGCATTTGTTAAATTATTTTTCTAGATCATTTCAAAGGTGGTCAGTCTGGATTAAATCAATCTAAGAATTTCTTAGATCCTAAGGAATTAAAGGAGTTATTAAAATCTAGAGATTATGAAAGGTAAGCCTTTTAGTTTTAGAAAAACTACTCATAGTTTTGATTTATTTAAACATACTGGAATATTTTGTTTTTATAGGGAAGTCAAAGGATCGAGAGAAAAGGTCATTAGTGATAAAGATCTTGAGTTGTTGTTAGATCGAAGTGATCTCATTGGTAAGTATCTCTCATGCTTTTAGTCTTTATGGAAACTTTAAAAGATAGACATAAATAGAATAGCGTCATGAATCCCTTGAACAATTAATGCATTCAGCTATAGTAGTTCGCAACATTTAGCCAATCTTGTTTCATTGACATTTCTCTTTTCTTGGAGAGAGACTTAAAATCATATGTCAAACATGATGATATTTTGTCCACAAGTAGTTTATTGTGAATCTTCCTCTGACAACATGTTTTTAAATAGAGCCATTATTTAACACATTTAAGAGAATAGCACTAGTACTTTTTTTTTAATATTTATTTTTTAGTTGTAGTTGTACACAATATCTTTTATTTATTTTTATGTGGTGCTAAGTATGGAACCCAGGGCCTCGCTCGTGCGAGGCAAGCACTCTACCACTGATCCACAACTCCAGCCCTAGCAATAGTATTTTAATTTCATCTCCTCCCACCCCCAAATCCATTCACAGTTCCTCATTTGTCGCTTTTTTTTTTTAAATAACATTTTGAATTGCAGTTCTAATTATGTCTCTTCTTTTATAGTATCCCCTTATTTTGTTTTTCTTTGCCATTGATTTATTGGAGAACTTGAGTTATTTGCTCTATAGAATGGCCTGGGATTCCTAAAATGTCTGATTTTCCTTCCCTTTTTTTATGTGCTTCAGCTTGTTCCTCAATATGCATATTTTTGATAGACTGATAAATAGTTCTTAATACTTAATTATATTTAAGTTTCATGTCTTTGCTATTATTTTATATCAGGGGCATGTCTGGGTTTCTGGTTTGTAGAGAGCTAAGATTGATCATTCAGACAGATCTGAATACTTCAGACTTTCTTGTCAATTTTTATTGAACTTCATGGTTTAAAAAACTTTTTTTGTTTTGTTTTAGATGTTGATGGACCTTTATTTTATTTTAAAAATATTTTTTAGTTGTAGTTGGACATGATACCTTTATTTTTTATATTTATGTTGTGCATAGGATCGAACCCAGAACCTCGCATGTGCTAGGTGTGCGCTGTACCACTGAGCCACAACCCCATCTCCTGATGGACCTTTATTTTATTCATTTATTTATATGTGGTCTTGAGAATTGAACCCAGTGCCTCATACATGTAGGCAAGTCCTGTACCACTGAACCACAACCCAAGCCTGGTACTTCATGGTTTTTAACATGTTGGTTGCTTAGAATCATTATTTCCTTGGGGTTTTACAAAATAATGACTTTCTTGTTTTATCATTTTAATTTAGCTGGGATTTGTCTAACTTTCCTATACTGAGATATAGGAAAGATAGGATAAATTGCTTTTTTATTCATCACTTAGAATAAGTTGCTACCTACAATGATGACCATAAATTATTTTGAAAACAAAGGTGATATTTAAAATCCACACTCTTGCTATTTATTTTTTGAATGGTGGCAATATCATACATTTTATGTATTTTATTGTATTTCAAATAAAAGACCTATCATGGTGTTCACCTTTTCCAGTTGTACTCAGTGATATTGTACTGACACTTCGAAATTGGTAGATATATATGCCATACAAATATGCAAAAACTTCAAACTAGAGTGTTTGGAAATTGTGAATGTTTATTAGCATACCACTGGGTTTTCTGTGACTCATTGAATTGAAAGAATTTAAAAATGTACTACAGATCTAAGTTCTTCAGTAGATCTATTTTGTGAATATTTTCTCCCTGTTTGTAGCTTATTAGTGTCTTTTGAACATTAAAAGTTTATATTTTTGTTGAAGTCTAGATTTACCAAGTTTTTTCCTTTCAATTATGATGTTCTTAAACTGGTAAAGAACATTGATCTAGATTACTACAGAAATCAGGAATAAAAAGCTCTCACTTTTACAGTGTAGAAGGAGATCTTAAGAACTAATACCACAAAATATTGATAGGCTAAAGGAATAATAAATTGGAATCCAGATTGCTTGTATTTACAGATGGTCTGATTGCCTCCGTAGAAAGTTCAAGGGAATCTGTAAGCTCTTAAGTAGAAGGTTGCTTTATAATTAATTGTGTATCATCAACAATTATTTAGTAAATAAAGTGTTTGCAATAGCTACAAATTTGGTTAAAAAGCCTGTAATTAAATACAAAAATCTTGGCCTGGGACTGCAGCTCAATGGTAGAGTGCTTGCCTCACAAGTGTGAGGCATTAGGTTCAATCCTCAGCACCACATAAAAATAAATGAATAAATAAAGATAATAAAAAATTATTTAATAAATAGAAAAATCTTAAAAGAGATTTGACCTCCATGGACAAAATTATGAATTGTTGAAGGTTATTAACATAAAGACTGAATAAGTGTATAGATTTAATGGATAGGAGTATTCAAATCAAAATCCTTATCACTTTTTAAGAATAATGAGTTTTAATTAAAATTTATATATATATATATATATAAGAATAAAGGGTCAAAAACCAAGGTAATTTGAAAACACGAGATGCTCTACGCAAGGTATTGTCTTATTAAAATGTTATAATCAATTAAGACAGATGAATTAGCACATGGTGAGATATATTAAGTGGTATAGTATAGTGAACCTAGAAAAACAACCAAACTTTGGAAAAAGAGTGAAAGAAAAGGCATTTCAAACCAGAAAGGGAAAATTCCTTTAGGTTAATACATGATGCAGCATAATTATTAAACAGGGAAAACTAAACCCGGATCCTCCTTACCTCACCGTTGAACACACTCTGCCCTTTAGCTATATCACCAGTCCTTTTTATTTTGAGACAGTCTTACTAAGCTGGCTTGGATTTCTGATACTCCTGCTTCAGACTTCCAAGTTTCTAGGGTTACAGTTGCAGGTGTGTGCCACCATGCCTGGCATTTAGGACATTTTTTGATAAGTTACCAATCTAAGTATATATTCAAAACCTGATTTTTGGGTGGTGGGATGGGCACTAGGGATTGAACTTATTTAGAGAAAGGGTCTCACCGAGTTGCTTAGCACCTCACTTTTGCTAAGGATGATTTTAAACTTGCAATCCTCCTACCTCCAGCTTCCTGAGCCACTGGGATTATAGGTGTATGCCACTGTGCCTGGCTTAAAACTTAAGTTTTTTGTTTTGAAATATTTTTTAGTTATACATAGGCACAATATCTTTATTTTGTTTGTTTATTATGTGAGGCTGAGGGTTGAACCTAGTGCCTCACATGTGCGAGGCAAGCGCTCTACCACTGAGCCACAACCCCACCCCCTCAAAACTTAATTTTTATAAATATTTATTTATTTGTAGTATGGGGGACTGAACCCAGCAGCTTGTAGATGCTGAGCAAATGTTCTGCCACTAAACTACATCCCCATTCTTAATATTAAAAGAACTTTAAAAGTTAGGAAAAGGTATGAGTTTAGGATTAGAAAGGAATTAAGATGCAAAGCTCAGTTATTATAATGAAAAAAGATTTTAATACATTAATATTAAAGACATACAACAACCTAAATAGATACTACATATTTGCAGTGATTTGGAATGTTTATAAAGGTAAGTTTTTCATGATATCTTGCTTCTCAACTCTTAACCATGATTGGGCTTCTTTTTAAAACATCTCTGAAAGCATAATTAAAATTGGTGTTCTGTTTATTGCCCTACGTATATGTCTTAAATTTAGCAGAAGAGATTTTAACCAGTAAATTGAGACTTCATAATGCTTGTTCCCTATAGGCTAATTTTAGTTGTAGAATATACCTTTTTCTTTTTGTTACTTTAACACTTAATTGTCAAAAGAGAGTGTCCCACACATGGGTTTTTATAATTTGGACATATGATACACTTCTTACAAAATTGTATTGGAAATTTATGATTTTTTTTCAGATTCCTACCCTTTTTTTCCCCCCAAAAAAGTATTTGTTAATATTTTTCTTTTAGATCAAATGAAGGCCTCAGGACCGATTAAAGAGAAGACAGGGATATTCAAGATACTAGAAAATTCTGAAGATTCCAGTCCTGAATGTTTGTTTTAAATTGAAGCTAAAGAATGACTTTTAAAAGCTCTTGTTTACAGTTAGTAATTTACTTATTGGTTTGGAAATTCAAATTGTCTACTATTTTGTTTTTATTATATCATTTTACATAATGTAACTAGCACCATTGCATACTTAATAGATTATAATTTTCTGAGCCTTTCTAAGAAGGAAATGCATATTAAGTTTAAATTTTCAGTTAATATTTGAGACTGGGTAGTACTCGTGAGCATGGTCTGATTGTACTTAACCATTTCCAGATTTATACAGTCTTCCTGTGGAAGTTTAGTAAACATCTCTTTCCCCCCTTTCTTTTAGCAATATGGTTCATAGGTTTTGGGTACTTCAGTTATGGAGTAGGCTTTGGTGGGGGTGAGATTTGGATTATGCTTTCTATTCTTGAAGTAACACATTGTTTGATTTTAGAATCTATAAGATAGTTTGTCAATAAATGTTCGTTATAAGATGATCTCATTAAATTATTTTGTCAGGAAAGTAATAGTCAGGTGAAATAATAACAAAAGACAACGTGTATTGGGATTCAACGTTTTTGTGCTTATTCAGTTTTATTCACTAATACTACAAGAATATATGGTATAAAGGTTTTAACTCAAAATTGAGTTAACCCAGAAAATGTTGTGGAAGAAACTGTAGTAGGGTCTTGTCATAAGACAAGAATTTGGAAATAGTATATTATACAGAACAAGAAAAATGCTGAGAACTTATAGGAGGGAGGGTAAATTGAACTAGAGAGACGGAAGCAAGATTCTGGAATCTAACCCAAAATCCATAAGAGGAGAATAAAGGCCAAAAAGGGAAGAATTTAGGCCTTGCATGAAAGGATAATCACAACATGAAGAAGAGAAATTTTGAATATACCCTGGGAGAGAGGAGGTGCTCCTTGACCCACAGGTTTTTCTATACTGGTTGTTAAGGTTTCAGGGAAAATTACTTTTGTCATATATATTCACAAGCAGATCAGATAAGAATGCTTTCAAGATCCTGGAACTTAGGCTCAGGAGAAAAAGCTGTCTTAAAAGAACATTTGAGCAAGAGTTTTCTTTTATTAATAAATGGAAATATTTGCCAGTCAGAGAAGCAGGCTATCTAGTCTTGCTTGAAATTCATTATCTATGACTTCAGTGAATTACTTATTTGTTGTACTAAATTTTGACAACCTCTTCTCCTAAATGACTATTTTATAGCTTCATCTCTGTCATATCTCTGATATTTCCTCCCTCTCACCAGAAAAGAACTTTTCAAGAAGTTATCACTACATTTTTGTCTTTTAACTGTCAATATGTTGTCGTAGCCAGAGCCAACTGAAAAGCCTTTTTTCTTTCCTTTTATAGCAAAATCACTTTAAAAATTTGTCTATATCATTGTTTTTCGTTTGTCTCTGCCACTCCTGTCACCCCATTTTGTTTGGATTTTCATCCCCATCATGCTATAGGAATTGGTCTTGATGTTTTCAGCTACCTCTGCAAACTCATTTTATTTTATTGGTATTAGGAATTTAACCCGTGGGCACTTTACCACTGAGCACCATCCCCAACCCTTTTTATTTTATTTCAAAACAGTCTCACTAAGTTGCTGAGGCTGTCTTTGAACCTGCTATCCTCTTGCCTCTGCTTCCTAAGCCACTGGGATTACAGGCATGCACCACCAGTTCAAAACTCAAATTCTTAACATATGTCTAGAGTTTCCATGGATAGCAGGGTTTGCTTTTCCTATGTCTGTGGACCTGCTTGTTTCTCCATCTTTCTTTGATTCCCTTTAGCTCTAGTACTACAGTACAAGAGAGAAGTGGTACTAGAATGCCATACTACTTGGGACAAGACAAGTTAATCTTAGGGGAGTTGAGAAAGTTCAGGTCTGAACAAACAGGACATGTGCCTGCAATCCCAAGATGGTCATAAAATATATCACTGGTAAATACAATGTACTTCACCATTACTTTTGTTCCTCATTCAGATACTTGCATGGCTTGTTTGTTGCTACCCAGCTCACATTTCACACCAAAATAAAATTTCCTATTCTTTGTCATGAATGATACTTTACCTGCCAGTCCAGGTGTGCCTTCATAATGACAAGATTGGGCATGTTTTCTGTCTTGGTACCTTTATGTAAGAGAATATGTTGAAGACAAAGCAGGAATAAATTAAAGAAGTCAATCAATACACTGGATTTTAAAAATACTCCTATTTCCTGATAATAAAGATTAAAAACCTCCAATTGGATTAGTTTGTCAAGTGCTAAATGGAAAATTTTAAAGGAAAACTTTATAACCTCAATGTGTTATAGACAAAAGTATAAAGGGCAAAGAATCTCTTCAAAGTTGTAAAAAGTGTAATGGTTTTTGTTTGTTTTAGCAGTAAACTAGACATTAAAGTCTACAGTTGGGTTGAAGGAAAGAAATTACAAATTATTTTCTATCCAACTATAGTATTTAAATGCAAGGGTAGTAAAGACAATTTCAGATGTACAAGACCTCAAGATTTGTTGGACACTAGGAGGTAAAGTGATGGGCCCAACCCTATGAAGTGTGGTAGAAACAGCCTACCATATGTTTTAGGTGGACACAATATCTTCATTGTTTTACTTTGATGTGGTGGTGAGGATTGAACCCTGTGCCTCACGCATGCCAGGTGAGCGCTTCCACTTGAGCCACATCCCCACCCCAAAAATATACTGTTCTTAAATAGCAGTACTTTGGGCAAAGCAGAGTTATAGCTGAGGACCAGTGTCAGTGAAGAGTTAGCCTATGCTTTTAGAATTAGGGCTGCTGTTGTCAAGAACTAGCTTTTGAACCATTTCCTTTACACAAAGGTACCTGTGACCACCTTGCTTGCAACATGCGTCCTTTTCTGAATAGTTCGAAGTGCTTTTCTGGCTGTCAAAGGTGCTTTATAATTATTTAAAGTTTTTGTAAACATTTCATAATATGGAGTAGTGGTTAAGTCCTGACTGGCAATTCTGTAAAATGAGAATGTGGGGTTGAAGTGAGATCATTAACAAAAAGAGATTAAATTTGATAATAAAGTTTGCCTGAATTCAGGACAGGGGTAAATAATACAAGTTAATGCAATGTCTGCCATTCAATGTTCAACAAATTAAAAGTATCACTACTTCTATGTATGTTATTAAGAATAATTTGATAATAAGTAAACTACCAAAGAAATAGTACTCAAGCAGAAAAGCAACATTTCAAACCATAAAAACATTTTAGTATTACTGTCCAAATGCCAGATGTTCTTCATTCCTTAAGCAAAGATGTGAGTTATTTTTCTGAAAGGAAAAGGATCCTCTTTTGCCCTAGTCACCATTTCTTTTGTAAATACTGCAATTGTGAAGCATCTTCTTGGCTTGTAGGACCCCAAAAAGGTTTGGCTTGAACATATCAACTGAGCAGAGTAATTGTAGTAGGATGAATTAGATTTTGACATTCACCTGGATTGAGGGAGGAAAGACTCAATCACCTTTTATGGCAAGTAGTAGGGAAATAATCAGATTTGGTATTCAAAAACCTGAGTTATTGCTCTATTCAGTGTTACCAGTCTAAGTCATTTTCTTATATTTATAATGAAGCTGATAATGAGCTTCATTTCAGTTTTTTGTTTTGTTTTTTTCCATGTCAAATAAGAGGATGTGCAAATGCACTCAATTTTTTGTGCATTGCTTCAGTGGAGTGATGAGACTCTGCTTTATTTAAGCAAGTGTCTGACCTAAGAAGGAAGTGTTTAAATATCAATGAAGGCTTTAGTAGAAAAGTCAAACCTGTGTTTTGGGGTCATTTAAAAAGGGGGAAAAAAGAAATTTAATTGCACATAACACAATTTACTGTTTTTTGTAGATCTCACATCTCTCTTTAACTGATCTTTCATGTTTGTAGACACAAGATCTTACAAATCAGAAGTATAAATCCCAAGAAGCAATTTTGTGATTTCTTATGGAAATAGCTCAGTGATTGTTGCCTGCTTAGCTGGCCAGGTATGGTGGTGCATGTCTGTAAGCCCAGAGGCTAGGAAGGCTGAGGGAGGATTCCAGTTTTGAAGCCAGCCTCAGCAATTTAGCAAGGCTGTAAATAACCTAGTGGGACCTCATCTAAAAGTAAGATTAAAACGACTGGGGATGTGACTCAGTAGTTAAGCACACTTGGGTTTGATCCCTGGTGCCAAAATAATACACCTAGCTTGCAGGAAACCTGTGTACTAACCACTCACCCACCCTTTCTCGGATCAAAGACATTCTGTTAACTGTGTGACCTTTGGGAAATCAGTCAATCTCTGAGCTGTAGTTCTCTTGTCTACAAAATGGGGAAACAGAATTACAATAATATCAGATATACAATACAATAGGTTTTAAATTGACTTAAGCATAGGCAGGGAAAGGAAGTTAATCTCTCTAGATCAGTATAGAGCAGCTCATCAATGCCTCTGGAGTACATGAGATCAAAGCTTTTCATAGTAGCCCCATTTGCTGTTTGTCATTGTCACAAGTGTACAGAGTAGTTTCTGTTTTCAGCTGCATGATAAGTATTATTCAATACAGTCCTCATAAAAATGCTCTCAGGCCTTAAGTAGTTTTTTAAAAATGTGAAAGTGTAAAGAGATCAAAAGTTAGAAAACTGCTGGTGTGGAGGATATACTACCTCTAATGTTCCACGTTGTTTACTCTCCATTCTCTATTGTGAAGATCTATCTGCCATCCGTATATTCAGTTGTCAATGTGTATCTACCATATCTTTTTTATTCCCTTTTAGTGCATAGAAGAATTTCTCTAGTCTAATTTCACTAAATTTTGCTATGGGGCTTTTCACAGTGGCTATATGAATTTATACTCCCACCAGCATTACTTGTTTCCTCACATCCTTGTCAGTACTATAATTTTTGCCATTCTGAGTTTTGTAAAGTGGCATCTTATTTATATTTTTCATTTCCTCCAATTGTTTTTCACTTCTGTTTTTCTTTTGGTTAGTCTTCACGTATTTCTTCCTGTCATTAAACTTTCTAAGAATTGGCCTCTAGTTCTGTTAAGTCTTTCCTCTATACCATATTTGATTCCTGCTTTCACCTTAACTTTGTTATTTCCTTGTGTTCTATTAAGATAAGCAACACTTATCGTAAATACTTATTTGTTTTGAGCGTTTATTATTTTCTGATAAAGTATTTAAAGATAACATAATTCTCTTTAATTACTTTTAGGCATATCCTGTAAATTTTGACTGGCAGTATTTTCATTACTACTAAGTGATTATATAACTTCTTTTCATGGTTTCTTCTTAACTCAAGGATTTATTTCTTAGATATTTAGTTGGCAGGTATATGAATTTTACAGTTGCCTCTTATTTGCTTTCTTTTTGCATTGCATTATGCTCAGAGAACATGATTGGCATAATTTTTTTTTTTTAGGCTATTTGCTGTTTTCTTTATGGCCTGATAAGTGGTCAATTTTGTGAATGTCTGCATTTGCACTTGAATGTATAGTTTCTTAGTATTGAGTGTAAATTTCTCTACAAATTGGTATGTTTTTCCCTTTAATAAATGTCTCTATATTTAATTTTTGACTGCTTCATTTATTTTTGAGAAGTATATACATATATTAAAATCTCCACTTTTACAGTTTTATATTTACTAATTTCTTTTTAGTTTGTAAGTTTGGGCTTTATATAATTTGGGGCTCATATATATTCCTTTGTGGCCTCCAGAAAATTTTCTTTTGTATTCTTTTGTCAGTTATCAATATTGTTATATTACTTTTATTTCACTTCATATTTGCTTAGCATATAGCATTCCATTCTTTAATGTATAATCTTTTTAAAATTTTTATGTGTATCTGTCATTGTAGCAAGTATTTTGTTGCATCTTGTTTCTATAGTATAATCTAGGACTCAAGTCTTTTGATTGGTGAGATTAGTCAGAATAACTTCAGAGGTCAGCAGGCAAAAGACAGGAAATTTTTTTTTGTAAAGTATGAAGGATGAATTAAAAGTACCAGCATCTGTTTAATGGTCCCAGAAGTAAAGGAAAAGCAAAGATCACAAAATATTTTGAAGAATGAAATTACATTTCCAAGAATTAAAGAAGATAATCCATAATGAATGTGCTCAGAGGATATAAAACATAAGGAAAAAACTCTAAGCCGAATATATGGTGAAATATTAAGAATAGGAAAGCTATCTGTAGTGCAGAGGAAACACTTGAGAGTGAAGAAATGGGAGTAAGGGCTGGGGATGTGGCTGAAGTGGTAGCGTGCTCTCCTGGCATGTGTGCGGCCCAGGTTCAATCCTCAGCAGCACATACAAACAAAGATGTTGTGTCTGTCTGCCGATAACTAAAAAATAAATATTAAAAATTCTCTCTCTCTAGAAGAAAAAAAAAAGGAAAAGAAATTGGAGTAAATCTTTGCCAGCTAATCTTCCAAGAAAAGATTCATTTCCAGATTATGTAAAAAACTTAACAACATAAAACACATTCAATAAATGGGCAAATGAACCTAGCAGACACTTCCTCAGAAGAGGTAGTAAAAATTAGTTATATGAAAAAATGTCACCATCTTTAAATGTAAGGGAAATACCGATCAAAACTGCAAGAATCCGTCTCAATCCAGTCACAATAGCAGTTATCCAGGATATAAATAATAAATACTGGTGAGGTAACAGGAATAAGGGAAACCTTTCATACTGTGGATGGGTAGTAGAGTTATTATAGCAATAAATATGGAGGTTTCACAAAAGACTAAAAACAGGACTACCATATAATCAAACAGTACCATTCCTTGATATTTATGCAAAATAATTTTGTGTATTTTAGATGTAAGTGCATACCCATGTTTATCACAGCACAATTCATAATAGCCAAATTGTGGAATCAGCCTAAATGTCCATTAACAGATAAATGGATAAAAGAAATGCAGCGCATACTATGGAGTATTATTCAATCGTAAAGAAAAATGAAGTTATGTGATTTGCAGGATAATGGGTGAGATTATTATCATGTTAAATAAGCCATTCAGAGAAGTACCATACATGTTTTCTCTCATGTGGGAATTGAAGGGGGAAATTGTGTGTGTGTGTGTGTGTGTGTGAGAGAGAGAGAGAACCATAAGTAAAGGGGAGACCATTAGGATAAAGGAGAGGATCACAGGAATAGTATGGGAAATAATTGATGAGTGTGATATGCATGTACTAATATGCTACAATCAAATGCCATTTTATCATTAATATCACCAATATCAAAGCTAAAGAGAGTGGATCACTTAACAGGAATAATAATCATATTTACTCTGGACTTAAAACCTGCATATAAAAGGACAAAAAAAACAGCTTTAACCTAGACTGGTTGAAGGATAGAGTGCAAATATATTCTCATGCACGTAAGATCTCAGAATGTTTACCAAGTTGAAATCATTCTTCGTAAAAGGCCTCATGAGGGTTGGGGTTGTGGCTTAGTGATAGAGTGCTCACCTTGCATATGTAGAGCCCTGGGTTTGACCCTCAGCACCACATTAAAAAAAGATATAGTGTACATCTACAACTAAAAAAAAAAAAAAAAATTAAAAAGTCCTTATGAAAAGAAAGCTAGGAGACTGAAAGAGAAGAAATAAAGTTAGTATACAAAGATAAAAGAGAAAACAAGTGCCGGGGTTGTAGCTCACTGGAAGTGTGCTTGCGTAGCGTGTATGAGGCACTGGATTCGATTCTCAGCACCGCATATGAATGAATAAAATAAAGGTCCATCAACAACTAAAAACTAAATTCTGAACTGTTAGAATGTTAGAAGTGTATAGGTTCATATGTATGTGTAAACCAAAGGGACATAAAAATGTCCTTTTAGAGTAAAGATGATAAATCTGAGAAAAATGAAAACCACTTTAAGAACAAAAACTATGCAACTCAGTCTATTAAAAAATGTGTAGGGATGGGATTGTGGCTGGAATAGCAGTTTTAAGATGTAAAATAATATTTTTACATCAAGGGAAATACTGAATATAACAAATACTGTATAACCATTTTAAACATATGTAACAACTGACAGCTTTCCATTGCTGTGACAAAGTGCCTGAGAAAAACAAAGATTTTCAATCCATGGTTGCTTGGCACCATGGCTGTCTTGGCAGAATATCTTGGTGGGGAGTTCAAGGTGGGAAATAACTGCTTACCTTATGGCCACTAGGAAGCAGAGAGGGAGAGGAAGGGACTGGGTCCTTTTAAGGGCACGCTCCCAACAATCCATATTCTAGGCCATAATTCCACCTCCCAGTAGCATCATTAGTTGGGATCCCAGCCGTCGGTGCATGAGCTTTTGGGGGACATTTAAGATCCAAACTGTAACAAGTACATACATGAACAATTACCATGGAGATTTAAACATTCTGTCAGAAACTGATCAAATAGCCTCACCTCCCCCCCAAAAGGCCTATATCTAAAATCTGAATACCACAATAAGCTTAAACCATTAAATATGAATACACTTAATAGAATGCATTTTCTTTGCAAGAAGATACAGTGCATTTAAAAAAATAGGTCACATAATAAAAAGAAAGCCTCAGCAAATTATAAAAGATCAGCAAACACTGTTTTCTGACCATAATTGAATAAAATTTGAAGCTAATAATGAGATAACAACAACAAAACCCCCATATACTTTAAAATTTTTAAATTCTTTTTAGTTATATATGACAGTAGAGTATATTTTGACATATCATACATACATGGAGTATAAGTTACCATTCTTGTGGTTGTTCATGATGTGGAGTTACACTAGTAGTGTATTCATATACGAACATAGGAAAGTTATGTCTGATTTATTTTACTGTCTTTCCTATTCCCGTCCCTTCATTCTCCTTTGTCTAATCCAGTGAACTTGTATTCCACCCCCCACCAGTTTATTGTGAGTTAGCATCTGTCTATCAAAGAGAACATTTTTGGTCTTTGGTTTTTGGGGATTGGCTAATTTCACTTAGCATGACAATTTCCAGTTCCATCCATTACCTGCAAATGCCATAATTTCATTCTTCTTTATAGCAGGGTAATATTCTATTATGTTCATATACCACATTTTCTATATCCACTCATGTGTTGAAGGGCACCTAGGTTGGTTCCATAGTTTAGCTATTGTGGATTAAGCTGATATAAACATTGATGTAAGCCCCATATATTTTTACAATTCTTTTAAAAAATATTTTTTAGATGTAGATGAACACAATGTCTTTATTTTTAATGCGGTGCTAAGGATTGAACCCAGGGCCTCATGCATGCAAGGAAAGCACTCTACCACAGAATTACAACTCCAGCCCCCAAATATTTTTGTTAGATCAATTTTAAAGTTACAAACAAATACCATTATGTCAAAATGTTTTTTAAAACTTTAATTTGGGGCTGGGGTTGTGGCTCTGAGGCAGAACGCTTGCCTAGCATGTGTGAGGCACTCGGTTCGATCCTCAGCACCACGATCCTCAGCATCACATAAAAATAAAATAACGATATTGTGTCCAGGTATAATTAAAAAGTAAATATTAATAAAACCTTTAATTTGGAGGGATATTTATGGTTTGGATACTTATATAAAATGGATGGCTAAGAATTTGGGAATATATAAGAATTTGGAAAATATAAAAGAACAAGTTCAAAAAAATTGAAAGTTTATTTTATTTTTTTAAATTTTTTTAGAGAGAGAGAGAGAGAATTTTTTAATATTTATTTTTTAGTTTTCGGCGGACACAACATCTTTGTTTGTATGTGGTGCTGAGGATCGAACCTGGGCCGCACGCATGCAAGGCGAGCGCGCCACTGCTTGAGCCACATCCCCAGCCCGAAAGTTAATTTTAAAATTAAGTTTTAAGAGTGGCTTGCTATGCCTAAATTATTTGTCAGTGTGGTTTATGATGAACACTCCCTTGCTTTCTAAAGAGTCCAGGATGATGATATGTGCTGGAAGAGGGGTCTACATGACCCATGTTCAATTTAAACCCTAGGCTTAGTCTCTAATGAAGTCTCCTGTGGACAACAGTTACTTGTATTGCCAAAATTCATTGTTGAAATTAACTTTTTTTTTTTCCTTTTGTATGGGGCTAGAACTTGGGGGTGCTGTATCACTGAGCTAACCCCCAGTCCTTTAAAAAAAAAAAAAAGAATTTTTGAGAAAGGGTTTTGCTAAGTTGCTCAGGGGTTCACCAAATCACTGACCTTAAACTTGCAGTCCTCCTGCCTTAACCTAGTGATTCAGATTGTAGGACTAAGAGAAAGACATGGGATAATTAGTAAAAAGGTGCCCAGGTTCCCCTCATGTGCATAGGTTACTTTCATTATTCTGTTTTAAAATTTCCCCATTACCATTCTGATGCTTAAAATGTGCTGTGTTCTCTTTAAGCTGCCAGAGGGAGGCATTTGAAAATCAACCCTTCCATGAGTCCCTCTGATAGAAAGTGCTATATGCCTTACAACCAGTAGATATCCCTCACCCTCAGGAGATTCCTTTAGTCTGCGGGGCAAAAAGGTGAACAAGAAGAGTGGGCGATTTTCTTTTGTTGTGGGTTTTATAGTGGCAGGGAGGAAAGCAGTAATGCCCTTAAATCTGAATCCTCCCAGGGTCTCTGGCACAGGGCAAACTGGGACCCAAGCACTTTGCCAAAGGGGACCAGAAATGACCTTGGCAAAGTGAGATGAGAGATGGGTTTTCTGGACCATAAAGAAGACCAAGCTGAGGAAGACGTCCCTAGTAAGAACAGTTTTTCTGGCGCGGGTGCCTGAGTCCTGTTTTTTCTCTTCTCACTCAGATGGGAGCTTCTCTCTCCAGTATGCTCCATACACCATTTACCTGCATATTGAAAAATTGGGATAAGTTTGACCCACAGACGCTTAAGAAAAAGTGCCTCATTTTCTTCTGCTGCCAGGCCTGGCCTCAATACAAACTCCCTGATGGAGAATCCTGGCCACCAGAGGGAAGTATCAATTTTAGTACAATTTTACAGCTTGATAAATTTTGCAAAAGAGAAGGGAAATGGTGTGAGATGCCATATGTCCAGGTTTTCTTTGCCTGAAGGGAAAACCCCAAATTATGCCAACAATGTAAAGTAGACTTAGCTATGATCTCTACCATGAAGAGAGAAAATCTTAAGGAATCACCTACTGAGGAGAAAGAATTAGGAGGACCCACAAAATCTCCATCCCTTGTTGATGTGGGCTGCAGCAGCAGCCCTCTTGTCCCCATACCCTGGCCTCTCTACATCTGCCCCAATAAACAGGTTAAATATATTACCCCTCCAGGAGATGCCGGGAGGAGAATTTGGACCAATTAAAGCACTTCCTGTTATAGTTAATGGTTTTTCCTTCTGATGTTAATAGTCCTCTTTCCTTGTATATGGCCCCCTGTGTGGTAGCTAAGACATACCAGCTGTCAGTGTACACGTTGATCTCTTGTCCTTTCCAAATCTAAGGGCTTGTGTTAAGGCTATTCAGCTTTTTTGGGATGAAGTCCCGTGTCCTACGGCCTGAGCCCAGATTACCTTGAGTTAATACTCCCTTTGCAACACTTTTTTTTTTTTCGTCAATATAGACGTGAAAGGGTTTTGTTAGATCTGGGAGGGCTAAAGCAGGGGCCCAAGTGAGTGCCTCCTTGAGGTGCTGAAAAGCTTCCTCCTCTGTATCTGTCCGTTGATTCTTTCCCTTGCTCCCTTTGTCAGTTCATAAAGGGGCTGGGCAATTTCAGCAAATACCCTGTTGCCCCTAGAAACTCACATACTTGCTTTTTGGTGGTTGGAGCGGGGATTTGTATAACCCCTTGGATTCGTTTTCCTGACAACCATCATTGTCCCTCATAAAGTTTATATCCCAGATAAGTTACCTCCTTTGAACATATATTTTTTTTAAGCAGACACTCAGTACCCCAATGAATTGGAGGATATCTAGCAAGTCTCTGGTAGCCTCTTTGCAAGCTTGAGGGGTTTTTGCTGCCAGAAGGAGGTCATCTACATGCTGGAGCAAGATGATTTCACAGTGACTCACCTTGAAGCTTTGTAGATCTTGACTTAAGGCTTCATCCAACAGAGTCAGGGAATTTTTGAATCCTTGCGGCAGCCTGGTCCAGGTTAGTGGTCCTGAATATCCCACCTCTGGGTCAGACCATTCAAATGCGAAGATGGGTTGGCTTACTTTTCCCAAGGGAAGGCTGAAGAATGCATCTTTGAGATACATTACTGTGTACACCTGGTATTTGGGGGACAGAAGGCCTAGCAGGATATAAGGATTAGGAATGTTATGCTCGAATTCGGGACCCCCCAAAGACCACCAGAGACCCAAGATCAATGCAAGCAGCAAAGAGGTGTTTATTGCGAGCTAGCTCGGTCCTCCACACGCACACACAGCAACTGGTGACGCTGAGAGGCCCCGAGCCCAGGGTTTGCAGCATTTTTATACATTTTTTGGAGAAGGCAGGGACTTCACATACATTATAGCATCCCTTAGCAAATCATCACACACCGTGGGAAAATCAAATAACAACTCTAAAACATGATTAGCACATTCACTGGTGGGAACAAGTTAGGTAGGGGTGATTGGTCAGTACAAAAGGGGTATTCGTTTGAACTGATTGGTTTGAGCCAAGAGGGGTGTACGTGCTGAACTACATGGTTTCCCAACTTGTTATCAACCACCATAAACCACTGGGAGGGTCATCTGGCATCCCAGATGGCGCAGCAGATCTCTCCTGTTATTTGTAGATAAACAATTTAGCAGGGTGGGAATGTGCTTAGGAGTGCTCTGTGGGTTTTTCCAAGGACTAAGGTCATGTCCCTTCCTTGGACAGGCTTTGCTCTGAGGTAGAGGCTGGTTTTTCAGGAACACTGGGATGTATGGTCTCTACTCGTTTATTGACCTCTCCTTAGTCCATCGGTAGTTGTTAGTCCCACGCTTTTGGACTGGTAAGAGGGGAATGTTCCAGGAGGACTTATAAGGGACCAAGATCCCTTCTGTCTGGAGTCCATTAATATGTGTGGTGATCCCCAGCCGAGCTTGGTGGCTGATGGGGTATTGCTTGACTCAGACCAGGGTAGCAGTGTTGGTTAACTGGAATGAGCCCTGCATAAGGGGCTTCCGGTTCAGGTGTGGGGAGACCCGAACTTTCTGGGGCAGCCTGAGGAGCGGCCTGGGGCACCTGGTCAGGGTAGGGTGGTGGCTGAGCAGTTGAGAGAGGCTCCTCTTTGTTGGCTGCCAGTTGGCCACTGGCAGGACAGGGATGGATCTGACTTACCAGGTGCTGGTCTGGGTTTTGTGACTAGGACAGTTTTAGATTTTTGGGACAGAGTCCCAGTGGACAGATTGGTTGGGAAGTCGGGAAAACATTTCTTTAGCCATCGAGGCTTCTCGGAATATCGACCCAGACCTGAATGTATGGAATTTGGTCAGGGTGACCGGGCTTCCCGAAAATCACAGGCCGAGCTTCCATAGCCAAAGAGAGGTTAGTGGAAACTTCTGAGGGCCAGCCTACTTTGAGGGAGGGCCAATCTATCTCCGAGTTTTCTCAGAGTGACGCCATTGACAGAAGTCCCGTACTCTGCTGTGCTCCTCTGGAAGTCCTGAAAATTGTTAAGAAAACAAGTTAAGTGGGGACAGGTAGAGTTCTCTGTAGAATTTCCTTGTTCCATGATGTCGGTGGAGTGAAGGAGTCCTGATGAAAGAATGGTTATGGAAACAAAAAGGGCCCATGCACACACCAACATATAGCAAGACAGACACAGAACAGGTGAGGCCACACAGGGAGGCCTCCAGTGGGACAGGAATAATGTTTTGTCCTGTCCCGGGACTTGGGTGTAAATGACCATGTCCAGTCTTTCCCCAGAGGAGTTGACTCACCAGGTCTGACAGGTTGGCAGAAGTCTTCTCAGAGCATTCTAGGACGGACTGGAATCGCCCTCTGAGTGAGGCTAAGGACTGTCTCTCAGGAGCTCCCCTCTACTTTGGCCGAGGTCCAAAGGCCCATTGTTGGAGGCAAATTTGGCTTGAGGGTAGGGAAGAAAGGAATCCCAGACAAGCCCCCAAATGTTACAGTTAAAGTAACGTAGCAGGGTTTCATAAATTGACTTCCAGACCACTAATTTATAATTGAATTAAGCCTTTATTGAAGCACACTGGCAGTGGCTGATCTGCCCACTGCCAGTGTGCTTCAATAAAGACTTGATTCCAGAGTGGTCTGGAAGTCAATTTATGAATCCCTGGGACATTGTTTAACTATGACCATACCCACTTCTCCCTTCAAGACCTAACACAGATAAAAACAGACTTAGGGAGATTTTTGGAGGATCCAGATAAATATATTGAGGTATCTCAAAACTTATGCCAGGTGTTTAACCTCACCTGGAAAGATATTATGCTATTACTCAACCAGACTTTGACCTCCAATGATAAGGAAGCTGCCCCGAGAGCAGCTGACCCGTTTGGGGATGACGTACACCTTGCTCATGCCCCAGCAGCACAGATTAAGAGCAAACCCAGTTATCCATTTGTAGCACAGGCAGTTTCCAGAAACAATCCTGACTGGGACCCAAATGATGAAAAGGATGCTGGGAAAATTAGACATTTCCAAATGTTGGTCCTTGAGGCCCTCAGGAGAATCAAGCAAAAGCCCATTAACTATGCTAAGGTTTCAGAAATTATTCAGGGCCCCCAGGAAAGCCCTGCTATTTTCATGGAGAAACTCAGGGAGGCTATGAGAAAACACACCACTATGGATCCTGAATCCACAGAGGGCCACCTACTTTTTAAGGACAAATTTATCACTCAGTCAGCCCCAGACATTCAGAGGAAGTTACAAAAATTGGCATATGGCCCTGATCAATCTTTAAATGATATCCTTCGACTTGCTACTTTCATTTTTTATAATAGAAATCAAGAGGAAAAAAAGGAGAAAGAGCGCAGAGAAAGAAAAAGGACTGAAGCGCTGGTATTAGCTCCCAGGGTGGAAAAGGAGGAAAACAAAATGCTCCTCAATCCACAAAAAGGACTTGTTTCCATTGTAGAGAGGAAGGACATTTCAAATGGGATTGCCCACAAGCCAAGTGACCACCCCCAAAGCCCTGCCCTAAATGTCAAGGCAATGTCTGGAGGAGTGACTGCCCTCAGGGGTGGCCTTCAAGAGAAGCCAGACTCCTCCACACAGGCCTGACCAAGCCCTGGGTCAATTCTTGCTCCTGTAACTCCTGTCACCGCTTGTGAGCCCCAAGTATGCTTCTCCGTAGGGAGCCAAGAAGTCAACTTCCTCCTAGATACTGGCACCAATTATTCTGTACTCGATTTTTACCCCAGACCTCATTCCTCTAATGCTATAATGATACAAGGAGTGTCTGGACGGCCTATTAACAGAAAGTTTACTCCCCCACTGAGTTTTGAGTGGGACAGGATGATGTTTTCTCATGCATTTCTGATTGTCCCAGAATGTCCTACCCCTTTATTGGGAAGAGACTTATTTTCAAAACTTCAGACATCCCTTACAGTGAATTTGGAACTGCGAGGACCATTATGTTTGCCTTTATATGAATGCAATATAAACCCTAAAATGTGGGCTACTGAAGGCAAAATCGAACAATGGGCAAAAAGTGCAGTCCCAATCAAAATAGTCTTAAAAGATCCTTCTGTGTTTCCACGTCAGAGACAATATCGCCTACACCCAGAGACAAAAAAGGGCTTATTAAAGATCATTCAGAACCTCAAACAACAGAAATTATAGTGCCCTGCAGTAGCCCATGTAATACACCCATTTTAGGAATTCAAAAACCCAATGGGGAATGGCAATTAGCCCAGGACCTCAGAATAATTAATGAAGAAGTTGTTCCTCTCTACCCTATAGTTCCTAATCTTTACACTCTGTTATCTGAGATTCCAGCAGCCACTGCTTGGTTTACTGTGTTAGATTTAAAAGATGCCTTTTTCAATATACCTTTAGACTCCCAATCACAGTATCTGTTTGCTTTTGAGGAACCAGATAGGAGATCTCAATTAACCTGGACAGTATTACCCCAAGGATTTGGAGATAGCCCTCATCTGTTTGGCCAAACCCTAGCTAAGGACTTAACAGAATTCAGAAATGAAACATCTGTGACTGTCCTCCAATATGTAGATAACATGCTTTTATGTGCCTCCACTCAAAAGGAATGTCAAGAAGCCACTAAAGAACTTTTAAATTTCTTAGCTGATAAGGGTTATAAAGTCGCAAAGATAAAAGCTCAGTTGTGCCAAAAACAAGTTCAATATTTAGGATTACAGATGTCTCAAGAAACCCTCAAACTAGGGCCAGAAAGAATAACCTCTATAGGACAATGTCCTCTACCTCAAACCATAAGGCAACTTAGAGGCTTCCTAGGGATAACAGGATACTGTAGGCTTTAGATTCCTGGATATGGGGAATTAGCTAAGCCTCTTTATAGCCTCCTCAAAGAGACACTATGCCAAGGAACAACTTCCCTGATATGGGAACCAGAACTGATTAAAGTCTTTAAGGCATTAAAAGGGGCCTTACTCCAAGCCCCTGCCCTCAGTTTATGTACAGAAGAAAAATTCAAACTATTTGTTACTGAGAGAGGAGGAATAGCCCTGGGAGTTGTCACACAAAAGAAGAGTCCTGCTCAACAGCCAGTCACTTATCTTAGTAAGGAACTTGATCTAGTTGGCCTCACTATTTTATAGTAGTAGCAGCTGTAGCCCTACTAGTCCCTGAGGAATTAAAATCACCCTGGGAAGAGACATTATTGTCTACACCTCCCATGATCTCTCAGGGATTTTAAATACAAAAGGAGAACTATGGCTCTCAGACTGTTGCCTTCTAAAATATCAAACCTTACTTTTAGATGGACCCATAATTCAAATAAAGACTTGTTTTAATTTAAACTCAGACACATTCCTCCCAGAAAAATTAGAAGGAAATCCTGAACATGACTGCCAACAAGTCCTAGCGACAAATAATTCAACCCAGAAAGACCTTCAAAACTTTCCCCTGTCTAATCCAGACCTCACCTTTTATGGGACAAAGAGAATGCAAAGCTGGATATGTTGTGGAGACTTTACATAACACCACAGAGGCACAATCTTTGCCCCCAGATACAAGCTCACAACTAGCTGAATTGATAACCCTAAAGAGAGCACTTGAAATAGGAAAACAACAAAGAATTAATATTTACTCTGACTCTAAATACGCCTACCTAATCCTGCATGCACATGCAGCAATATGGAAGGAAAGAAAATTTCAAACAACTGGGGGAACATTCATAAAGAACTATGAGCAAATCTTAAAACTCCTAGAAGCTGTTCATTTACCTAAAGAGATGTAAAGAGTAATTCACTGTCAAGGACATCAAAAAGGGATAGATGAAATAGCAGGAGGAAACAGGCTAGTATATCAACAAGCCAAAGAGGTCACTAAGGGAAGTTTATAGATGACAACCTTAGCCCTTTTGATATTGACAGGCCCTCCCCCAGAGATAAGACCTCAGTACACCCAGGAGGAAACACACAAGGCATTATCTAAAGGAGGTATTTTTTACCCTCTGGGTGGATTCAAATGGAAGATGACAAACTTTATTTACCTGCTAATTCCCAGTGGAAGATTTTACATACCCTACACCAATATTTCCACCTAGGAGAAGAAAATATTCTCAAATTAACCCAAGAGATATTTAAAGGGAAAGATATTTCAAAGACCATCCACCAAATAGTCAAAGCCTGTCAAACATGCCAAAGAAATAATCCACTCAATTCTTCCAAGAAACCACCAGGATTTTAAAAGATAGGACAATTTCCCAGGAAAGACTGGCAACTTGATTTTACCCACATGCCCAAGAGTAATGGGTTCTAACATTTATTAGTTATGACAGATACTTTTACTGGGTAGACTGAAGCCTACCCCTCCCGAACTGAGCAGGCAGGAGAAATAGTCAAAGCATTATTACAGGAAATAATCCCATGATTTGGTTTGCCTCACAGTCTACAGAGTGACAATGGAACAGCCTATAAGGCAGCTGTCACTCAGGGAATATCCAAAGCCTTAGGCATCAAATACCATCTCCATTGTGAGTGGAGACTTCAGTCCTCAGGAAGGATAGAGAAAACTAATGACATTTTAAAAAGACCTCTAAAGAAACTCACTCAAGAAACTCACTACCCATGGCCTAAGGTGCTTCCTTTGGCCCTACTCAGAATTAGAAACACCCCAAAAACATTAGGGCTCAGCCCATTTGAGCTCTTATTTGGGAGACCATTCCTAAGAAATGATAACCTTAACGACCAGGAAACTGCAGATCTAGTGGCTCATATCACAATGTTGGCCAAATTTCAAGCTGAAATTTGTAAATATCCCATATCTGAGCCAGTTACTTCTCCACCTCTATATGAGCCTGGAGATCTAGTTATGATCAAGACCAGACTTTCAAATTCCCCAAACTTAGACCCCATTTGGAAAGGACTTTTTTTCTGTAATCTTATCCACTCCTTCTGCAATAAAAGTCCTGGGACAGGAGAACTGGATCCATTACTCTCAGATTAAAGCCTGTCATCCTGAGTTGATACACAAAGAGACTTCTTCCCAAGGAACTGAGGAGCGATACTCCTGCACTCTAGTAGAGGACCTAAGATATCTCTTCCACAGAGACAATGGTGATATGTAAACTTTTTCTTCTCTCTTTCTTTATTACTATAAACAGATTCACTGAAACTAACTCTTTTCTAATGTGGGCCCAACAATATGCCACTGGGTTACAGAAAGAAAATTAATTGCTGGATATGTGGACTATTACTCCTTTCCAGCACTTCTGGACTGCCTTGGTGGGAATCCCCCTTACAAGGAAATGATTGGTCAAATTTACAATCCTTAATGTTAGAACAAAAGAAAGAAAGACTGTCTTTACAAAATGCCTCTTGTGCCAATGTTAATTTATGGCTTATAAATGAAATTTCATCACAGCTCATGAAAAGATTTTCACCTTAGAACAGACCTGTAAGGGTCCCGCGAAATGTCGGAGAAAGAGACCACCAAGTGACCACTCATGCAATTGGCAGAAGGGGATTTATTGAACCAGCATGCTGGGGCTCCGTGCCCACTCAAGAAGGGAAAGCAGCCCAGAGCCCCGAGCAGGGGCTGAGCACTGCTTAAGTACACTTTTTGGGGAGGGCGGAGGGCTTTGTATACATCAGAACAAATCATCATGAGGCGCGGGAAAATTGAACAACAACTTCTAAACATGATTAGTTCATTCATTGGTGGGAACAGGTCAGGCTGGAGTGACAGGTCATTTCTAAATGGGGTACACATTCAAACTGATTGGTTTTAGGGCCTAAAGGACTATGTGACCAGTTACACAGAGCCCTTCAGTTATTAAATAACCAAACAGCCAGGGGAAATGTTTACTGGGCAATTCCAGTATTGTCCTAACAGCTACAGGGATTTCAGGTTTTGCAGGTAACATAGAAACCTAACAATACCTAATCCTTTACATTTTAACTCAGACCTTGCAGCTTAGAAACTTTACAACACCCGGTCTTTTACCCTTTAACTTTTACGCTTTAACTTCAATTTCTTTTACCCTTACAGATCAACCTTCAGATTTCTACCATTGTTAAATCCCATGTAGGCTCATCTAATTCTTGCCTTCCACCATCAACACCGTTAACATGTCACAGTCATAAGGATGGCTATTATCAGATTTGGGATGGAGATCTATGGCTCACTCTCACTATTGGGCATTTAAACCAAGAAGCCCCAATCTGTTGGGAACAACATAACCACACCTATGACTTATGGCCTAATGCTACTCCAGAATTAGGATGGACTCCAGAACCACTATGCCAACAAATTATGGTTTATAAGACAATGATTGGTTTGGAACAGATTGGCTCTCTAGACCTAAAATTATTTGGCCATCACCCAGTGGGACACAATGGCCATGTGGAACCAACTTATGGCCCTGGTTTCCCCCAGGCTGGATAAGGTGATGTACTATTTGGTACCTCTGGATGCAGGGGAGATGGACCCCAAATATAGAACAGCCAGCAAACATCCCCAATCTCAAACATAGATGGGGACAATCTGTGTTTTGTTGGTATGATCATCTAGCTTCACTGTTTATTCCACCAACTGGTTTAGAAGATGTAATGTGGCACATGGAAATTTTAAACAATTACACTTAAACTGCCCTCCATGAGGTTGAGGAAAGCATCTTCCTCCTTAACACTGAAGTAACACTTATGAGGAAGGCCATCTTACAAAGCCAAATGGCTTTGGATGTCCTCACTGCAGCTCAAGGCGGAACTTGTGCTACTATTAAAACTGAATGTTGTGTTTACTTCCCTGACAATTCTGGCAATGTGACTAATATCCTTAAAGATTTACATGCTCTAATAGAAGCCATGTCCTCGCCAGCCTTGTCATGGGAACAGTTTCTTAGCTCCTGGTTCTCTGGTACCTCCTGGTGGAAAACATTGTTAGTGTCTGTCATTGTCATCATATTGTTGGCATATTCCTATGCTGTGGCATTTATTGTTGCATTAATCTCATTCCAGTACTAATAACTTATTGTTTCTCTTATAGACCACCCATCACTCAAATGACCCTCCAGCCTGTTAGTTCTCAATCAGACTTTTATCTTGGACCACTCAATAGACCTGATTTTTTAAAAAAGGAACTCCAAACTGCTTGCTTCATACCACCCTCTTCCAGCTCAAAGAAGCCAGAGTGGTCATCATCCCCTTTCCTTATAGCAGTAAGGAGTTCCTAAAATTAGAGGGGGAAATGAAGCCAGATTTAAAGATAGGTAGTTAGTGTACTTAGGTAAATTGGGTCTAATATCAAGTACATAAAGAAAATGGAGACCATATGGAGAATGGAGTTCAGGAAACCAGAACAATACCTGGGGATTTTGAAATGTTAATGTCCTCAAAGCCCAGAACCCACCCTAAAGAACTGTTAATGAAGTAGCTCTCAGCAAACAGGGAGGTGATAATCAAACCACCCCAGGCCCTTCCTGCCCAGATTACTCCTCCCCACCCCATCAGTCCACCTACATCCAGCTTTTGGCCTTCCCACCTGAATTCTATCACTGCAGGACAGAGGGAAACAAAGGACAGGAATGTGGGAGGACTAAAAGAAGACCTTAGATATAAAAAAGAGAAGTCCTCCCCTTTTCACAGATTCCGCCTTTTGGGTCCCCTTCTTCCTTTGGGAGGAAGTCTTTTCTGCTGTCCTTTAATAAATCCTTCTACTTTCCATTCTACACTTGCCTGGGCGTGCTTCTCTGGTGCTATACTTTAGCATTTTGGGAAGCAAGGATTCGTCACTGGTAAACAGCAGTAACAATTGGTGGTGGGTAATATGTAACTTTTTGAGTTATTAAAGATGACGACGACAGAGAGGGGTAGGTATCCTTTTGTCTACCATCCTTCTGTCTGTCTGCACCTTCCCTGTGTGTCTGTGTTTGTCCTTTGTGCTCCTCTTCCACAGGTATTCCTCCACAGGTAATTCTTTACAATTATTCATATATTCACATAGAAGTTCAAACTTTTTACTGTTCAAATTCTTTTTATCATTTATCTTTTCTTCATTATGAACTGCTAATTTTTGAAGAAGATATTAAATATTATAATTGTACATTTATATAATTCTTCATAGAATTTTCTGTCATTTTTGTTTGGCTACATCATAAACACTATTATTTCAGTTTTAACCTGAAGATTGACAGATTTCTCTGCACCTGTCTTTTTATATTTTGTATTTTATGTGGTTTAGTTTTTTCCTTTCATTCCTTCGAATCCACTGCATTTTCTTTATTTTTAATATTTATTTTTTAGTTGTAGTTGGATACAATATCTTTATTTTATTTTTATGTGGTGCTGAGGATCAAACTGAGAGCTTTGCTTGTGCTAGGCAAGCAGTCTACTGTTGAGCCACAACCCCAGTCCTCTAATTCATTGCTTTTATCTATTAAAATGGTTTTGATTGCAAGTAAAATAAACCCCACCTCAGACTGGTTTAAAAGTAAAGTCATTCATTTCTTCATATTTTAGGAAATTGACATTTGAGCATGCTTCAGAATTGTTTTACTCTTTGGTTCATTGATGTCATACATGTTTTCTAGCTCTCATCTTGGTCTTCCTTAGGAGCAGCATGATTCCCAGACAGGTAGCAGAATGTCTGAAACATTTTAGGCATCATACTCAGTCACAAGTACAACCAGAAGATGAAATGAGACTATCTTGTGGTGTTCTCCTGGGAGCAAAGAAACTTTTTGCTTCAGGAATTTGACACAAGGTTAGTCAAGGATTCTGAGGGAAATCTGATGGGAAGTTTTGAGAAACTCAATGGTAATATATGCTTTGACACTCCCTGGATCTAGGGCTTGGATGAGTTTCCACCAAGGCATTTCAGTGCCTGGGAAAATGGATGCATAAACTGAATTACATTGGAATTACTCTATTAGGAGGGAAAAACAAGGGGGGAAAAGATGCTGGATGAGCCAGAAATAGTAACTACTACAAGTGTTTGAGGATTACCCAATCATTTGTAATTCACTGGGTTCTTCTAAACCTAAATAAATTCTGGTAGAAAGGTTAGGTAATCTTATTGGTTCCCTATTTGTGTATTCTTGGAAATAAAATTTTTATAAATATATCAAATACAATTTTGCTTTATAAAATAATTATTTTATAATGTAATGAGTAAACCAATATTTTCAATACTATGGGTCATTTATAATGACATGAGTAAAATAATATTTTAATATTCTGGATCTAGTCATTATTAAGACTCAGGTATACCACCCCAAAATATGACTATAATAAACTAGAATATGCCACCCTCAACATGCCTCTTTGGTGTATTAGTTATTTTGAAAAACTGAAAACATTATTTCCTACCCTCACTTCTAATTTTGAGAGCTTGAGTATTCTTCTGTGAAAAATCTTTTTTATTTATTTTATTTATTTTTTGAACCAGGGACTGAAGCCAGGGGGCACTTAACCACTTAGCCACATCCCCAGCCCTTTTTTTAAATTTTGAGATGAGGTCTCACTGAGTTGCTTAGGATGACACTAATTGCAGAGGCTGGATTTGAACTTGTCTTCTTCCTGCTTCAGCCTTCTGAACCACTGGGATTACAGGTGTGCACCACTGTGCCTGACTTATGAAAAGTTTTAACAAGTCTCTTTTTTCATGTCTGATGATTAGCAATTCTTAGCTTATTTTTTAAAATATTTTTTTTTTTGGTTGTAGAGGGATACAATACCTTAATTTTGTTTATTTTATGTGGTGCTGGGGATCAAACCCAGTGCCTCACACAAACTAGGCAAGCACTCTACCACTGAGGTACAACCCCAGCCCTTAGTTTAGTTTTGTTTTTGGAAATCTGTTTCTTTATATTTGTTTTTCTAGAAAATCCTCAGATTTTTGGTTTGTTATTATTTGTCTCCTGAATTTTCAATGCTGCTACAGATAAATTTTTATATTTATTTTGCCATTTAAAGAAGATTTGGGGAGGAAGAAGAAAAACAATTTAGTCAGTTATCTTGAACTCAAAGACATACTTTGTAAATCAGAATAGTAAAAGACACTTTATTGCCCAGTAAGTTGGAACAGGATTAAAATAAGAAAAATGGCCTGCAATGGCAATTATTGGAATGTACTAGTACAAAAACAATCCTCAAACTCAGTATTTATTATTTCTCAAACTCAGTATTTATTATTTCTCATATTATTTCTTGTATTTCAATTACCTGAAATATTTTTTTTCTCATAGCTGGTTAGTTGGGAGTCAGCTGGTCTTGACAGGGTTTGCCTGGTTGGTTCACTGCCTTGGCTGGACTCACTACACATCTGTGGTCAGTTGGTGCTCAGATGCTCTAATTCTCAACTAGGTTGAGGAACCTGCTGAGATTTTCTTATCCCTCTGGCACCAAAGAGCTAGCCCTGATGTGTCCTTCTAGAAACAGTGGCAAAGATACAAGAGGACAAGGATAATGGGAGAGCACTTTCCAGGCCTCTGCTTGCATTCACAGCTAATTTCCCAAGGGCCAAAGGAAGTTACAGGAGCAAGTGCAGAATCATCGTGGGAGAGTACTACAAAGTTACCTGGCAAAAATTGTGGATGCAGAAAGGGTTAAAATATTTGTGCAAACTACCTTCCAGATTTATTTATTTTATTTTTTAAAAACAGTCTTTAGTTATAGATGAACACAATATCTTTATTTTGTTTATTTATTTTTCTGTGGTGCTGAGGATTGAACCTAGTATCTCTCATGGGCAAAGCAAGCACTCTGCCATGGAGCCACAATCCCTGCCCTCCAGCTTCATTTCTAATCATACTTTATTGTGATTCAAATGCCTGTAAATAAGCTGGATATGGGGGGTCATGCTTGTAATCCCAGCTACTCAGAAGGCTAAGGCAGGAGGATCACAGGTTGCGGGTCAGCCTGTCAATTTAGTGAGATCCTGTCTCAAAATAAAAAATAAAGAAGGGAATGAGGGTAGTTCAGGGTAAAAGTACTTACTTGGCATATGTGAAGCCCTGGATTCAATCCCCAGTACTGCTTTAAAAACAAACAACAATAACAAAACCCCAAGAAAATATAAATCAGTTGGAAATAGTCTTTGGAAGCATTGTGATATTATTTTGTTAATTCCATTCTTACTTCAATGCTTAATCCAAATACCACCTTTTCCATTAATCTTTTATTTTATTTTATTAGTTTTTTTAATCTATTAATCTTTTGATTCTAACAATATAAAGTATTTTTCATCCTTTTCAGATTTCTATAGATCTCTCTACCTTTTTTAAGGATAGTCAATATTTTATACTAAAATATTTTAAAAAGAACACATACATGGGGAGAATCTGTTTGCCTCCAGGGTGTTTCTAGCTAGCTTTAAAAAAAAGCTTAAAACCTTTGCAGGGAGATATGAAGCAGAGTTTTGAATCACATTTTACTATTTTACTAAATCTTCAAGTAAATCTTTTATATCCTTGGCTAGAGAATAATATCCCTAAGGGCAATTTTTTTTTCCTGGACATTTTCTTTAATTCCTAATCCAGACCTTGTTGTGCAGTAACTTCTCAATAAATATTTAGTGAATAAACACAAGAATGAACAGCTGGGTGCAATCAGATTTTCAGAGAGGTTTTCCAGATATAAGAAAATTCTTTAAACTTTAGAACTTTCTTATATCATGACTGCAAGAAGTCCTCATATGATTAAATTACTTTTTTCGGTAAGGACATAATACCTAATGTCCAGTAAGCTTATTTTAAATCAATTTTATTTGAAATGTTTCTTTAAAAGAGGCAGACTCACAACAAACCCAGTATTTCTGATGATGATTTATTCAAAGATTATCAGAAGTGAGATATCTATATTTTTTGGCTCTTTCTAGTAAGAAAGGTGTTTCAATTACCTGAAATAAGTTTTTTCTAATATTCTGATCTAGACTAACCTTGTATTTATACCTACCCTTTCAAGGCATAGCTGGGCTTTATGCTTTGTATTATAGTTAAAATATTAATCTTTTTTTTTTTTTTTTTTTTCAACTTCAAATTTATTTTAATGATATGTACAGGAGTTAACAAATTACAATTAAAACGGAACAGTTATGTTTATTCCACATAACTTAAAATCATGCAATACTGCATGGTAAAAACAACAGCTTCATTCATATACAAAAAAGTATTATTTTGAGACTCATGATAGTATCTTGAAATTTTTGACATAAGCTTTTTGCAAAAAGCATTTTATAAAAATTTAAAGACCTGATTAATCAGTTAATGCATTGTTAGGAAAGATAATAAACATTATTAGTAAAGTGAGGTTACAAGCAATTAATTTTAAAATTATACCAAGTACAGGATTGAATGTACTCTCAGGAAATAAATGTTAAGAAAATAGTTTTGAAAAAGATCTCATATTGAAGCCATGTATTAATTTTGTTGAATCAGGTTATATAAATCAATAGTCAAGTTTATTCAGTTAAAGAAAATATGCCTATCCTTTCTTATACTCATAAATAGTACTTACATTTAGTCTTTATGTACAAGTGAAGAAAAGTTCAATGTAAAAAATATACTGCCAATCCACTTATAATGGTTGAATAGTTTTTTTATCTACACATTAAATTGCATTGATGAAAATGTCCAATTTAAATCACAATCAACCAGCATAAATATTTAAGCTGAGTATTGTTGTAAACAATAGAAAAAAAACAAATTCATTTATTTTTTAAATTTCATCACTGGGTAACAATCTACTTCTCAGCTCAGAATGCTATATAAAGGCTCAACATTTAATCAAATTCGAAACCCACTAAACTTAAAGAGTAAACAAATTGAATGTTTTTCAAAGTGCATAATTTCCAACTCATCTACTTGTAATATTTATCCAATTCCAGTTCATCAGCAAGAAAATAAAATGTACTTGGCTATAAAAATACTAAGGAATGTTTTTGAAAAGGAAAGGCTATTTGGT